TTCATATGAATGAATGACATAACTTTTAATAAACAACAACACTATGAAGAATGAGACAGTAAAAGCTATTTTCATAGTTTACATATAAAAAATAATAATTCCAAAACTTGATTACTGAAAAGAACTAAGATGTAGTGAACTTCGAAATTGTAATTATATAAAGAAGTTAATAATCTTGAACAAGCCTTGAAAACAACCATTTACAAAAAAGGGTAACACGTATAGTAACGTTGATTATTGCCTGTAGATAGAAACGATGTTTTTGGACATAATTTGTAACCAATCGCAATGACTTTTTTTCATAATTTTCATTTCGTATTGTTTAAATAAATGTCGAGTACCTTTATAAATACATTCATTCTTAATTTAAATAATGAAGACAAAAAAATAGGCAAAGATGGATAGTGGATAGCAGTGGAATTCAGGACGCACGTTTCGTCCTACTTGGGGTTCGTCAGCTAGATGCACATGCATCTTAGGGTTGATATTGACTTTTTGACTTGAACCCAATACCGTTTGCTTCAAACGATGGTAGTAGATAATTTAATTTAATACTTCAGATAATATTTTTGTACTCATTTTATGTGAGTTTTAAGCACAACTAAACTTATATAAACCATTTATTGTGCTGATGACGGTTGCTTTGTTTCAATCTGTTGTTTAAAGTATCATACATATTGTATTTGAAGATCGTAAAATAATCTAATTTTGCAAATCTAAACATTAGAATGATTCATACAAGTTTATCTAATTTCGAAAAGTCGTGACAAAATCAGCGCCAAATGAAATATTAACTATTAAGTGTGAAGTATATTTTCAAGCAAAAGTGCACTGCAAGCAAAGATGGATAGTAGCTAGCAGTGGAATCCAGGATGCGTGTTTCGCCTTATTTAGTACTCGTCATCTGGACGTACCTGCATCTCAGAGTTGATATTCACTCTGAGACTCGAACCTAGTGCACTGCTTTCGGGAATAAGATTTTTGGGATTGCTAGTTGGCGGCCCATGCTCCTCCCTGAGGGATAGCAGGCGTAAGTAAGTAAGATATGTTTATGAATTGTTTATAGGCCAATAAATCATATTCACTTCGAATCGTGTTACGTATTAGTGAATAAACAGATAATAACATTTTGAGATGAAAGATACAATATAATTCATGATATAAATTTCAATTAATCTGGCTCGTTTTTGGATAAATTTAAAAATTTACGACAAATTAGATCTCATGCTGATATATTATGGTATTGCAATTAGTCGACGTATTCTGTCATCAGTCAACAAATGAGTAAATATCATATCTTCAATATAAATAGGTATCCTTACTTCATTTAGTTGCAATGCATAAATTCACATTTATTTCTAAAAAAATACCCAATGCTTTGAGGTAGATATTTATTTACTTTACATAATGTTAATATTCGACCGGAAGTTTGTACCTTTGAAATTTATATAGATTCAGGCTTCTTTTTTTTCTTATACAGTAGTATTATAAATTTAAACTTAATCGAGAATAGACAAAATGTTTTCTACAGCTCAATAATGTAATTCCTTTGAGTATTGTTGATAAAAAACATCTAGGTAAAAGAGAATTAAGAATCAATATAATACTTTAAATTCAGAAGCAACCTGTCGGTAAACTACACATCATAAATAACTTACGTGCTATTTACACAGCTTGTTCTGACATAACTAACCTTAAGAGCAAACGTTTACTCAAATCTATCACTTATTCCCATGAGTAAGCTGGAATGCTGAAAATACTTTGAAATTTGCATGGTTTTCAAAATTCATTATGATAAGTGAATGTTATCGAATAATTGCACAGTAGAATATTTACTTCATGTAAATTTGCTTGTATTAGTTTTTAAAGAAACTCCTGCAACACTGAAATATTCGTAATGTTTTCTGGTGCAGAAACGAGTTAACTGGAGGATTTTTTTCGTTTCGTGAACCTTATATTCACTGATGAAATTAATATGTGTTTTAACAACTCAAACTATTTAAACTAAATATTTGTTATAAACTGACCGCCGTATTTCCCTGATACACTTTTAGTCAGTTTTCTGCTTTTAAAGTCTGTTACGTTGTAACCTGAAGATAGATTCCATTAACAAATTATTTGGGTTCGAATCTCGCGAAGGCGGGATCGTGGATGCGCACTTCTGAGGAGTCCGAAAATAGGACGAAACGGTCGCCCAGTGCTTCCACAATTTCATGGTGGTCTAGCTTCAACTGAATCATGATCTCAACTTCATAAAGAATATTTGGTTTAAAGTTTGGGTTCAAACATTCTATCATAATCATGTTTATATCATGAAATCACTTACTAACAAAGTTGTTTAGCATATTACATATGTATGAGGTCTGCAGAAAGAAGTATGATAAAAGACAAAATGATTCTTATATTATCCTCATGATTAGTAATAAATGAATATTCTTTGTAGGATTGAACTGTTAATGATATAATTTGGATTATCACCTTCAACACAATTAAACGGAATATTTCATAACATCTCACGAAGAGATTAAAGTTCTTAGTTAAAAGTTCTGACGAAAAAATTCATGTGAATCGGTTTTGACGGAAATTTCATAGACTGTTATGAGTCGTCAGAAACGCTACTATTGTGGCATGTGCTGCTGATGTCGGCAGATATAAGTAGTATGCATCATCAGTCTTAAGTGAAATACCTGAAGGCAGAAGACTAAGAAGATCGACGAACGGGAACGAGAACAAAGAATGATTGGTGTAGAAAAGAAGGAATAATCAAGTTTGAGACGATTGATCGACAATTTGCACATGAATTATTTACTGTATAGTTCTCAGTTTCTACTAGGATGTTCTGTAATTTTGTGTTCCAATATATTTGATTGTCCCCACTTGTGTTCCTTTTCACTACATTATAGTTCTTTAAATAAACACTTTACTTCTCATGCATATGTATATATAAATATGTATATACATACCTGAGTTCGAATCTCGTGAGGCGGGATCGTTAATGGGCACTGGTGAGGAGCTCCATAATAGGACGAAACGGTCATCCGATGCTTCCAGGTTTTCGATGGTAATCTAGCTTCAATCGACTCATGATCTCAACTATCTAAAAACTCAATTTTATCAACTCAAGTAATATTTTCACCAACAATTGGTTTTATTATTTCAAAGTTAAACTCGCTAATATACATCCTTTGTGTAGAATTAGTGGAAGTTGATAAACAAAAGTTTATTAAATAGTAAACAAATTCTTCATTTTTATAGTTTTTTCCAATCAGACATTTATACTAAAAAAAGTTTATCACTATTGTCGAAATTAGTTTTACTTTCACTTCTTACTAATGAAATGTAATCGAATAAATTTTATTGCAATATCTATTACGTCAGAATTCACGTAATGACATTACGTCATAAATTAGGATAATTGGTTTTTTCTTTAATAAATAACAACAACCTAATGAATATCTACCAAAACAACACTTATAGATAGTAGTTATGTATACAACAACAAAGTGTTAATACAATAAGAAGTTCATAATAATAAATAAACTATATAGTAAACTGTCAAGTATAAATAATCATTAAAATTAACTAGACAAATAAAATAAACAAATATAGAATATACTTTATGCATAGAATCAAATGAAACATATAAATTAGGTGAAACTACATTTCAACAATCAGAAGAAGGGTTTGTGGAGATTATATTGATTTTATAGTTGAAATCATGAGTCAATTGAAGCTAGACCACCATGGGAAACCTGGAAGCACTCAACGGCCGTTTCGTCCTATTATGGGACTCCTCACCAGTGCTCATTTACGATCCCGCTAAGTGAGATTCGAACCCAGGATCTATCAGTCATACACGCGAGCGCTTGACCTCTAGACCACTGCATCTGCATCCAACTGTGTTAATGTCTTACTTCAACTAATCCACGAAATTGAGCAACCGTCCACAATTATCTTTAGTGTTGGTCAAGCTTCAATTGAATCATGATTTCAACTATAAATTTTTATCACTTGTAAAAGATTTCATTGTAATAGAAATAGAATTTCAAAAAGAAAATGTCTTTTTTTATTGTTTTAATTATATATATTTAAACCAGAAAAACTCTTTATGCACCTTTATAAATTATATTGTCTAATTTAATGTAACACAATCCATTGATCTCTTTTGAAGTACAATATAATAATATGAAAAAACTAAAGATTTTAGAAAATTTCCTCAGTCTAACTTACTAGTTAACTTACGGAAAAACGTAAATGAGACAGGTACCTTTTTTGGTTAATATTTAAAAAAAAAACAATCCCTAGGGTCTTATTGACTTTTGATTATTCTCATTATACTTTTTTTTTGTATCATCATTTTGAAAAACAAACTAACTAATCAGTCAAGATTTAAATTAGATAAAATATCTAATAATTAATTATTGATTTCTCTATTACTCCTAGTATAAAGAAATAAAACTTGATATAATATCAGAAGGGGGTTTGTAGAGATTTTGGTAATTTTATAGTTGAAATCATGTATCGACTGAAGTTTGACCACCATGAAAATCCTGGATGCCCACTGCTGAGGAGTCCCACAATAGGACTTCCAGGGCTTCCAAGTTTTACTTGGTGGTCTAGCTATTCTATTGAAACATTATGAATTTTTCCAATTTCTTTAATATTAGCCTATACATTACAAATTGTTTCATTATTGAACTACTAATAAAGAAACTATACAAGACACTAAAAAGTAAAAAATAATAATTTTCTTTAAACTAATTCTATATTTCGACTTATAATATTACGTAATTCAGTAGTGTTTAATCAACAACATTAATTTTTAATTCCAATAAAGCAATTGTACTGACTAGTTGTAAGACAATAACTATCAATAATTAATAATAAATATATAATTTAACACCTTTTCATTGTAATCGCCTTTTGAAAACCACTAATGTTTTGTTGATTTTAGTTATCAGGTCATTTTCGATTTTATTTTTTTTAAAATTTATTTTCAGAAATTGACACTTAAAGATTTTGCATCTGAAGTGAGAGCGAATCTAGACATTGATATGTTTATCAAAGAAGCAACTCTTTTGTTGGATTTGGATGGATCCACCCTAGAGGATATAATTAGTTCAATGTTAGAAGCAATTTTTGATAATCGTCCTATTGTTGATACAGCAACATCAACAACAGCAACAACAAACACAACAGCGAATATGACACCAAGTAGTCCTAGTTCTCCTGATGATACTGATTCAAATCAATGGTCAAGAACTTCAGCAACTACAACTAGTGGTTTTGGACCAAAAGTGAATTTTTCAATAACTGGCAATTCAGACAAAACCAATTTGTCAAAACTAGATATTGAAAATATGAAGCTTGAAGCTAAAAATTCTCTTATGATGCAGATCAATTATCAGGGATATACATGTAAGTTATATCTTTACTTACAAAAGAAAATACTGTACATATAATGCGCACACTTTTCTATCTGTTTTGTATGGTACTGTTTAGTATATACTACAATTTTAACTAAATTTTCTCCAATGGTCATTCGTATGCAAAGCATGAAATTTCTGTCACTGAATGAAATGGTCATGTGTCCTTAAAGCAACGTATTATTGTTGTCCATTCCTTATAACCATTAACCGTTCGACAATTTCTTTCAATGCCAAAGATTTTAGAGTAAAAAGATGTGTTTGGAATCTAATCGATAGAATTCAATCATCAGTAAGGACTTTATGTTGCTATACTAGGTACTATAAAATAATCTAGTGTTTAAAAGTTGGTTCATACAAATAACTGAAAACCTTTTAATGACTGTAATCGTTTTTATTTCACTCATTATTCTCCGAGATGATTGTTGAAGTTTATTGGATTAAGTTGAAGTCTGATAAATAAGGCATTTGGGAAGTAACGACTTAACGATTGATGACTGGTAAGTGACTTCATAATGAAGTCAATACATATCACCTTCATTTCGTACGACGAACAGCTATACTTTTGAAATTTATTTTATACTACTTTCAACATGGTTAATGAATAGATATTGTTATGAAAGTCTCAGAAAATTCAAACGTTATTATCCCTTTTGATATTTCGCTGAAAATAAAGCTTTGGGAGACAATTATTTAATAGAACATTTTCTCTAAGATTTACAAGAGTTTCAGTTAATTTCTTAGATCGTATCTTCGCCATACTTTATTTGACCAGTTTTCGTGTAGGGAATTTATCATCTGTTTTGTTTTTTTCTTCTAGATCAGAGGCTTGCAAAAACAATCAAAGGAGTTTCACTGACAGATGATGATTGTTTGTCAACCGATCAAAGTTGGATTTGTGCCATGTAAGTAGTCGCCTTAAATAATAATAATAGCACTTTAATTGTACAACCATTCATATATATATATATATATATATATATATATATATATATTGATGAATATAAAGTTTGTTGTCTCAACTATAGTGATAATAGGAATAACTGAATCTGTTTATCGATAAATAATCAAAACTTTCATTCCGCACAAACTGATGGATTTCCTAGACTATCCTCTAGAAATTATCTACTTAACTGAAAATTAGTTATTTTAAGGGTTATTTCAGTTGGGTAACTTCAAACAAGCTGCAATTCTGCTATTTCTTTTATCACAATTTATCCTTCTAATTTAAATCTTCGACCAAATAGCTTTTAGTTTCAATCTCAGTGTTGAATATTAGATCATGAAAACTATTCATAAGTGCTTGATAGATGATCAAATCTTCAATTAGTTTAAGAACTGTCGAAATACAGGAGCACAATATTCAAAGGAAACTAAATATCCAGACAATGGTTTTAACAGATTATGATTTCAGATATAACAGATTAAGACAGTACTATGATAATAAAACCATTAGTTTTCTAAATTATTTACTTCATTACAACCCTAGAATATGCGTTCACCGTTGTGTATATGAGTCTCTTAGAAATGACTATACAAAGATGCCAATTATTAGGATACTTTATGAAAGACAATCAATTGTTATTTGAACACTATATACCATGTTATAAGATTATTTCAAATTGTTACTATCAATTGAATCAGGTGCTCACTAAGATCGATTCATAAACGTTATCTTGCTTTGGCACGATTAAATAATCCAGTTAATTTTGGCAGATCAAGTGAAGGAACTTATTTGATTGTACTCATAATAACACCAACAAAGGAGGTAATGTTAATATTTGTATACATTATATTAAATTTTGATGGTTAAGAATCTTGAAATATTATCAAATGGACTAATCACAATAACTTTAAACTAATTAATGGTCATATAAACTTTTGAATTCAAACGACTAACTTTGTAAAACCATTTAATTATCAAGAAAATAAATCCACAAAGTTCACTAAGTATTGTTTGTTTGAATCTTACCATTGATGTTTAGGACTGCGATTAGTCAGTCTCTTATTAGCATACGTGCATATTGCCTCGATATTGCCTTAATTCACTCCATTGCACAAACAAGTGGCTCTCAGGACTCAGTAGCTGAAAGGATAACGCGACGGCGTTTGAAGCGAAATGTACTGGGTTTGAGTCACAGAGTGAACATCAACTCCGAGATGCAGGTACATCCAGCTGACGATACCCAAATTGGATTCCACTGCTAGCCACTATCCATCTTTGCTTATAAACCCACAAAAGTTTGTTTCTTAATTGCTGTCCTTTGTTTTTTTAATAAATCCAATATCCTAATTTATTAGAGAATCACTGGAATATGCATCGAATCGAAGTATTATAACAACTGTAGTTTAAATTTAGATTGACTGAATGTACCATATACTGAAACGTTAATTTGTAAATTTATTTTTTATTTATGATTTCATTTGTTAACTACGTTAAAAATTTACATCTTCACTGGATAAAAATAATCATTTAAAGTGATTATAATTTAATTAATAGGAAATGTTTCAGTAGTATTGTTGTGAATGAGAATAAAGGTGGCGACAACCAAATGTGTATTAATACATTACAGAAGATCTTAGTAAAATCTGAGAATCATATAGTGAATACTTCATTTATAAAATGTCAATCAATTGTTTCAGAATTGATTATTCCACACTGATCATTCTTTGTTTTCGTTGTCTTCTATCTTCTTAACCTTCTGCCTCCGAGTATTCCACTATCGATAAGTGATACATACTACTTATAACTGTCAACATCAGTAACACACACTACTGTATTGCACAGTTCTTTGAAGAATCTCCTCGAAACACAGTCAGATTACTAGATAGAACCAAACGACTACAACATTTCTTCAACATCACATTTTGAAATATTTTCACATGTAACCTGATAACGATTATAGGTATCATTACCAAGTCTTGATTTGATAATTTTGAATAAATTGAGCATTGGGTAGATTGTTATAAATAAATAATATATTTGTAATATCCCAATGAGTAGAAAAATTAGATTTTCTGACGTTTCGTGACTCAGTGTAAGCCACTTCTTCAGAGAATAAATAACCAAATTAATATTAATCCAAGTTTAAATAGTACAACGGAACAATCAAAGAATATTAGGTGATCAATCAAAAACAGGTCTGAATAAATCACTGTCATGTCATTTCATTTCGGTCAAGGTGATTCATAAGCGACATGGATGTAATTTTGTGTGTATGTATGCACTGTTAATAATGAAAACTGTGTGACCTTTATAATTACAAAGGATAGAGTTTGATTTGTAATGTAATGGTGTGAAATTGTAAATAATATCAGACTGAGTGACTAGGATAGATGGTCCAAGTAGGCTGTATGGTAAGGCCTTCCTTTCTATTGAGAGCTGTGGGATTAAGCATTATATGGAAAGCTTCAGCTACTCTTCTTTCTTTGTAGTTAGAAAAACCTTTCAATTTCACACCATTACATTACAAATCAAACTCTATCCTTTGTAATTATAAAGGTCACACAGTTTTCATTATTAACAGTGCATACATACACACAAAATTACATCCATGTCGCTTATGAATCACCTTGACCGAAATGAAATGACATGACAGTGATTTATTCAGACCTGTTTTTGATTGATCACCTAATATTCTTTGATTGTTCCGTTGTACTATTTAAACTTGGATTAATATTAATTTGGTTATTTATTCTCTGAAGAAGTGGCTTACACTGAGTCACGAAACGTCAGAAAATCTAATTTTTCTACTCATTGGGATATTACAAATATATTATTTACTGATAACGATTAGTTTAAAACTATTTTCTCATTATCGCTCAAATTACAAACCACATTTATGTATTCATTACATATTTAGCTCATTTATTTAATTTTTATTTCATCTTTAGAAAGGTACCAAAAGTGAAATTGAAGTTGGTCGAACATTTGGCACAATTCTATCTGATCCAATATTTCGACAAGAATTATTATTTGCTACTGATGAAAAAGAAGTAAAATTATTATTATGGGATAGAGCACAACAATTAGCAGCACAACAGTCAACTGATAGACGTAGATCATCACAATATCTTGATATTAGAAATCAAACTTTTAATTTAGTGAGTTATTAGTTTTAAAAGAAAAATTATTATAGTTATTATTATGCTACATAGAAAATATGTTTTCTGAATAAATAAAAATATTATAATTACTATGAAATGAATTAAAATAAACATAGAATAAACATTTCAAATTATTGTTTAATAAATAATCGTTCAGAACTCCGCCTGTAGCTCCTCCAGGGGCTACTGCCGGTCCCAAGCCCGGGTAAAGGAGGAGGGTTGGGTATGGGGTTAGCGACCCCATCCCGTAGAAAATCAACTCGCTAAAAAAACGCTAACCAGAAAAAATCATTCAAACCATTCAAACTCTGCCCTGGGAGTAGAAGGAAAAATGACGTCTCATGATGAAAGCCGAGTTCCTTCGGAAGTCATGAGGTCGATGCACCTTCTTACAACCAGAGCGACAATTTTTATAGGTACATGGAATGTCCGGACAATGTGGGAGACCGGCAGAGTCTTCCAAATTTCTGCGGAAATGAGGAAATACAACCTGGAAGTGCTTGGAATCAGTGAAACACATTGGACGCAGGTTGGACAACAACGACTGTCTTCAGGGGAACTTCTGTTATACTCCGGTCATGAAGAAAAAAATGCCCCACATACACAAGGAGTGGCACTGATGCTGTCTAGAAAAGCACAAAATGCACTTATAGGATGGGAATTTCATGGACCAAGGATCATAAAAGCCTTCCTCAAAACAAAAAAAGAGGACATTACAATACACGCCATCCAATACTATGCGTCTACCAACGACTACGATGAGGACGTTAAAGATCAGTTCTACGATAGGCTGCAGTCGATCGTCGAGAAGTGCCCAACAAAGGACCTGACCGTTCTGATAGGAGATTTCAATGCCAAGGTTGAAAAGGACAACACTGGATACGAAGACGTCATGGGACAACATGGACTGGGAGGAAGGAACGAAAACGGTGAGAGATTTGCAAACCTATGTGCCTTCAATAAACTGGTCATAGGTGGCACCGTATTCCCACACAAAAACATACACAAAGCCACTTGGATTTCACAGGATCACACTACACAAAATCAAATCGACCATGTCTGCATCAACAAAAAGTTCAGGAGGACGATGGAGGATGTGAGAACCAGAAGAGGAGCTGATATAGCATCCGATCACCATTTGCTGGTCGCCAAGATGAAACTAAAACTCAAGAAGCACTGGACAATGGCGCGGACAACATCACAAAAGTTTAACACGGCCTTTCTTCGAGATGCTGACAAACTCAACGAATTTAACATAGCCCTTAGCAACAGGTTCGAGGCCTTTCATGACCTACTCAATGGAGAGGGAACCACCATAGAGAGCAGCTGGAAAGGTATCGAGGAGGCAATCGTTTCAACATGTCAGGAGGTTCTGGGCCAAAAGAAGCACCATCACAAGGAATGGATCACTGTTTGTACACTGGATAAGATTGCAGAAACGAGGAACAAGAAGACAGCAATCAATATTAGCCGAATAAGAGCAGAAAAAGCCAAGGCACAAGCCGAATACACAGAAGCAAACAACCAAGTAAAGAGGAGCATCAGGACCGACAAACGTAAATATGTGGAAGATTTAGCGATGACAGCGGAAAAGGCTGAAAGAGAGGGAAACATGAGACAACTGTATGATACAACAAAGAAACTTGCTGGAAATTACCGTAAACCAGAACGACCATTGAGAAGTAAGGAATGCAAAGTAATCACCGACATTGCAGAACAGAGAAACAGGTGGGTAGAACACTTCAAGGAACTCTTGAATCGACCAGCTCCACTGAACCCACCAAATATCGAAGCACCACCCACAGACCTCCTGATCGATGTTGGCCCACAAACAATTGAAGAGATCAACATGGCCATTAGACAAATCAAGAGTGGCAAAGCAACGGGACCAGACAACATCCCGGCAGAGGCACTGAAAGCAAATGTAACAGCAACTGCCAAGATACTCCACATCCTCTTCGGTAAGATTTGGGACGAAGAACATGTACCAACAGACTGGAAAGAAGGAATTCTCATCAAGATACCAAAGAAAGGCGATCTGAGCATGTGCGATAACTACAGAGGAATCACTCTTCTCTCAATACCAGGTAAAGTCTTCAACAGAGTATTGTTAAACAGGATGAAGGATTCCGTGGATGCTCAACTTCGAGATCAACAAGCTGGATTTCGTAAGGATAGATCGTGCACAGATCAAATCGCAACTCTAGGTATCATTGTGGAACAATCAATCGAATGGAATTCATCACTCTACATCAACTTCATCGACTACGAGAAGGCATTTGATAGCGTGGACAGGACGACACGCTTCTTCGACACTACGGCGTGCCTGAGAAGATAGTCAACATCATACGGAACTCCTATGATGGACTAAACTGCCAAATCGTCCACGGAGGACAACTCACCGACTCGTTCGAGGTAAAGACCGGTGTTAGGCAAGGTTGCCTACTCTCACCCTTTCTCTTTCTCCTGGTGATCGACTGGATTATGAAGACGTCAACATCTGGAGGAATGCACGGGATACAGTAGACAGGCAGGATGCAGCTTGACGATTTAGACTTCGCGGATGATCTGGCTCTTCTATCACAAACGCAACAACAAATGCAGGAGAAAACGACCAGTGTAGCAGCAGCCTCAGCAGCAGTAGGTCTCAATATAAACAAAGGGAAAAGCAAGACTCTCCGATACAATACAATATGCACCAATCCAATTACACTTGACGGAGAAGCTTTGGAAGATGTGGAAATCTTTACATATCTGGGCAGCATCATTGATGAACACGGTGGATCAGATGCAGATGTGAGGGCGCGGATCGGCAAAGCAAGAGCAGCATACCTACAGCTGAAAAACATCTGGAGCTCAAAACAATTGTCAACCAACACCAAGGTTAGAATTTTCAATACAAATGTCAAGACAGTTCTTCTGTATGGGGCGGAGACGTGGAGAACTACGAAAGCCATTATCCAGAAGATACAAGTGTTTATTAACAGCTGTCTACGCAAGATACTTCGGATCCGATGGCCAGACACTATCAGCAACAAGTTACTGTGGGAGACAACAAACCAGATTCCAGCGGAGGAAGAAATCAGGAAGAAGCGCTGGAAGTGGATTGGGCACACTTTGAGGAAATCACCCAATTGTGTCACAAGACAAGCCCTCACATGGAATCCTGAAGGTCGAAGGAGAAGAGGAAGATCAAAGAACACATTACGCCGAGAAATAGAGACAGACATGAGAAGAATGAACAAGAACTGGAAAGAACTAGAAAAGAAGGCCCAGGACAGAATGGGTTGGAGAAAGCTGGTCGGCGGCCTATGGTCCATTGGGAGTAACAGGCGGAAGTAAGTAAGTAAGTAAATAATCGTTCAGACCATGAGTCATTTGAAGCTAAAACACCATGGAAAACCCGGAAGCACTGGACGTCTATTTAGTTCTATTGTGAAACTCCTCACCAGTGAGCATCAACAATCCCGCCTCGCGAGATTCGAACCCAGGATCTGTCGGTCTCAACCGAGAGTGCCTAACCTCTAGACCACTGCATCTGCGTCCAACTGTGTTAATGTATAACATCAACCGATCCATGAAATTGAGGTTAAGCGCTTGCGCGCGAGACTGATAGTTCCTGGGTTTGAATCCCGCGAGGCGGGATCGTGGATGTTCACTGGTGTGGAGTCGCACAATGAGACGAAACGGCCGTCCAGTGTTTCCAGGTTTTCCATGGTGGTCAAGCTTCACTTGACTCATGATCTCAACTATTGAAATTAATATAATATCCACAAAACCCCTTTTGATAATAACAAATAATCAATAAAACAATTTGAACTACTCAAAATTAATTTTTCTTTTTATTTGAATAGAGTTCTCAATCAATGATCGGTAAAGGAATTTACTTAGATCTTAAGCGTAAAATTCCATATTATTGGTCGGACATAACTGAGGGTACGTTCAGTGTTTTAGAACATTTCCGGTGAAATAATTGAACATTGTGATTGTAATAGCTCTATTTTAAATGTCTTTATTAAGTAATGAGCTTTTTTTCTGTTATATCCCATTAGGTAAGAGAATTTTGTTTCTGACATTTCGTGACTTAATGTCGGGCACCTCGTTGAAGTTCAGTTATTAACGGACTCTGAAGAAGTGGCCGACATTAAGTCACGAAATGTCAGAAACAAAGTTTTCCTACTTAGTAAGATATAACAGAAAAATATGTTTGTTATTAACTCACTACCCAATGCTCAATTTATTTGAAACTATCAAGTCCAAGTTTGACATTGATACCTATAAACTCATTAATAGCTGACACAAATTATCCAAGTTTCGGATAAATGATTTTGCTGTTGAACAAGAAAAATAAGTTGTCTTATGGAAATGAGAGAGTGCTCAATGCTTTCCGTTTTTTACTCACCATGAACGTTATTCTTTTTCATCTATTTTTTCCATTTTTATGGTTAACTGTTTCTAGTAGAAGCTATTACACTGATGGTATTTGACATCGATTAGGATACTAATGAAAACGAAGAACCATTTGATATTTGTTTTTGGCATTGCTTACAGTCCATTATTAATCAATATCGATTAAAAGGGGGGGGGAAATCGCACAGGAATATAAGTAACAATTTAAACTAGTCATAAGACATCTAAATAAAAGCATTATCTATCCAATTTTCCTCAGTTTTCACCTGTACTCTAAGTGCCATCATTTCTTGACGAATATTACGTAGGGAATAAATTATTCTCACTAAACGATTCGATTTTATAGTACTTCTTTTAGTTTCTTCTATTGATCATAAGTCTATATTCACTCCTGCAATCATATCTTCTATTCCTAGTGTTTCCTACTACTAATAATACTGTAGTGCAATTCTTCGCTAATCGTTCATCTTGATAACCGTTATGATACCAATCTTAACGGTACATAAAATCAGAAGGGAAGGACAGGCTGCAGCTACAGTTTATTATCGAATAACGCAGGCCACAAAGCTACAAGCACATGAGTAAATATCAGCGAGCAAGCGCGAGCAATCACATAGGCAAATTCATAGTCAAATTGTATAAGGGCATAGCAAGACAAAGCAAAAGCTAATAACAGGATTTGAGTGCGCGCATATATGGAGAGAAGGATGAGTCATCGAATGATATTTAAGAAATCAACGTTTTGACTAGAGTCCGTCATATGCTCTAGTGACCATAACAGAACACAGATATATATGCGAATTGTTACTATCCTGATGACAATGTCTGTTAAGTAAGTTAATAAAAGGGCTTAACCAAAATTAACCATAATGGGAATTGGGTGTAAAATAGTTGCTATAATATTAATAATATTTCTACTTTCCTGATATCTCACTGTGGTGTGGAAGCTTCAAATGATGCACACATATTTCATGTATAAACTGACTTGCTGCCTAATGATTGGTAAATAAAAATAACTTAGGATAAGAATCAGCTTCTGACCTATCGTAGTTTGTGTTTGTTTTTGTTAGTCATGAAAGGCATTTCTTGTGTAACATATTACATTGAGTCGTGTGCTTCTGATGCAACTAAAAATTTTATTTTATGATTCACCAATTGTTGTCGATTCTTTATTCCCTGGTACTGTTATTCCATTTTATTATCCCGACCTCTGATAAAAAGCTATCACATTTCGCTAACTACATAAATAGTTATTATAAAAGTCAATGATGAATCAACTTAATTCTATTAAAAATATGGTTGACAATAGTCTCTTGATATCTTATATGAAAATATCCAGTGTCACATTTTATGTTTTTTGGCGGGATTAGAAACTACTGGCTGTTGAATTCCGTCACAATAATTAAAACGCATCGTGCTTATGTTTAATTTCAAGCTGTCATAAACGTGCAATACAGGAAAACTTTAAAACTACATTAAAATTGATAATTATTTTCTTCTTAATAATCAATAATCTTCCTACTGATATCAACCCGTAATGGAAAGTATCTTCGAAGTATTTAAAATATAATTTATAGAAATAATTTCCTCAGGAAATTAGCATTTTGTGTATTCATCTAGTCATATTCTATTTGTAATGAAAGTATACCATGACACAGAGTATCTCAGATAACAAAAACCTTTTGGATAAGAAAAAACAAACTTTCATTATTTATGTCATGTTCGATAGAGAAAATAAGTTTGAATCGATAATAATAATAATAATATATTTCTTTATTTGTGTTTCTCAATTATCAAAATTAAAATCAAGGTATCCGTGGAAAAAATACTATGCGTAAAACAATATCAACTATTATATTTCTATACTTTGCTTGTTTACTTCCTTCAATTGCATTTGGATTATTAAATTCCAAAAATACTAATAAAAAGATGGGTAAGTTTAAATAATCAGAAGAGGTTTTGTGAAGATTTTAGTATTTTCATAGTTGAAATCATGAGTCTATTGAAGCTAGACCACCATGGAAAACTTGAAAGCACTGGACGACCGTTTCGTCCTATTGTGAAACTGGTAGGTCATAGGTTCGAATTTCGTGAGGCGGGATAGTGGATGCGAACTGCTGAGGAGTCCCATAATAGGACAAAACGGTCATCTAGTGCTTCCAGATTTTCCATGATGGTCTAGCTTCAATTGACTAATGATTTCAATTATGAAAAAAGGTTTAAATAAATTTGGAAATTATTTTATAATCAATGATTAATTTTAAATAAATAGTCTTATTATTTTTTTCATTTTAACGTTATATATATATATATAGTTGTATATTTGTTTTCTTCGTTCGTGTATTCTATTCTTATACGTAATCTTTCTTTTATATATTACTATCATTGAAGTGACAGCTTCTTTGAGGTTTGGTGTTCATCTTGTTGTGTTAATGAGGTATGGCAACTTGGATTGATGCATCTATATATGTGCCTAGTTAGACATTGTAGCTTACTGATGGTATACTTTTTTCAAAAAAAAATTCAATCCTTATATCTATGAGTATTTCAAGATTTTTTTCTTTCTGTTTATTCATTTGTTTTAATTTATTTTTCTTTCTTTTTTTCATTTTTTTGGTTCATATTTTGACATTTTAATCTACTGAGAAGAGAAAAAAAAGTTTTTTTTATAATTCTGAAACAAAATTGTTTTAATTTTTCAATAGAGAAAATTTGGGGAGAAATTGAATTTGATTAGATCAAATGAATTTTTTTATAATTTTTTAAAAATCAGAACCGATAATAATCAAATTTCAAATTATTTTAGATTTACTTTTAATTATTTATATAATTAATTATAATTTGATTGGAGTAGATTATTTCAGATTACATAATGAATAGGAAACTATATATATATATATATATATATATATATATATATATATATTCACTGACAGATTTTGAGTAAAGCAAATGAACTTCATAATGGTTTTGTGTACTAGCAACAAAATTTAAATATTTTTAAACATATAAGCGTTGGATGCTTTTTTACGGCAAATTGTTTCAATCATAAGTGCCTACCTCCTGTTTCATTGAATGATGGTTGTAGATTTCAAATTTTTGTAGAGTTTCTTGATGACATGAATGGTTCTGTTGTAATTTCAGTATAAAAATACTTTTTGATATATCTAATTTCTATAATAAATAAAGATAGTGTGAACGGAAATAAATTAACATCCTGTCTCATTGGTGAATTATTATCTCACTTATAAATCGACTAATATTACCAATCAGGTTAGAACTTTGTCGATGTTATCTTGTTTCAGAGTATTGGTGAACATTTAAACCATATAACCATCAGAAAAGTAAGACAATCTTACGAGAACATTGAAAATTGTAACACAAAAAATAAAAGTGTTTTTTAGATGTTTGAAATTATCTATCTGACAAAGCTCTTACAGATACAGTTTTAGTTCACTCTCTAGTATACATTTAAAATAATCATCCAGATATGGTAGGTATTTTTTCATTTGAATTTATAATATAAAAAAGGTATAAGGGAAAGTTCATTTTCTAGTCTCAAAACATGAAACTAATCTGTACTATGGATTCTACCTAATTGTAGTTTGATTATTTGGTAGGAAAGTTCAAAATAAAATTTAAAAATTTCCGAATTTATTACTGGATCATGTGAATACAGTCAAAGGATTAGTTTAGATCTACTTAATCTTGCAGAATAAAGGACACAATTTAACTAAGTTATCACTTGCCAAACTATGTTGAACGATTTTTTTTGAATGTGTAAAAACCGTGGGCTCGACAAACAACTTACATACCTAGCCTCATAGGAGCAGGTGACTGTGTGTATGTACGCTGAGTCAGTCATTTGTGCTAATCTGTTTTTTATACAAAGCTATCTGATCGCATGATTATGATTAGTTGTATGGCTTTTTGCCGTACAATTCGAACTCCAAAGGTTTTTCGCCTAAGTCATCCCTATATTATGAAATCTTCAATCATCCACATTCGAATACTGAATCTATAATATCCAGTCAGATTACTATTCCCATGCAGTTCAGTACGGTTTTAATGAACGAGAATTTGGTGGGCAAAACCAATTTATTGTTTAATAAAAAATTATACAGTGCTTTCATAAAATATGGGAAAAGTACATTAAATACTTTATTTGCATATCTCGCATCACTTATCCTTTATATACTTCATGATTCTTACATTTCTGTTATGATTTCAATTGCTCTCTGTTTCCCTTGCTGTTCTCTTCAATTCAGTTTTCTGCTGCCAAGCATTGCACTTCCCATTGGTGCGACATGCTACTTATGACAATCAGCTTAAGTATACTATACCACACAGTTCGCTATCATTATTATGCTGAAAATATACGTTTGCTACTTGAATACAATTTTTAAAAGAATTTCCGGTGTAGCTTATTGTTCTTTTACATTTTCAACTCACCATTTATGTAAAAGCTTATACGATTGACTTAATAGTATTTTTTCGGTTACTAATCTTGTCTATCGTTGTCGACGAGCAATAATTATCGCAATTATATATGACAAGTTTTAAATTTCTTTTACCTCAAATAAGTGTTCTTGACTTTTAAACTAGTCTCCACTACATTAATTTATACTGACAATATTACGCCTAGAGCTCCTCTGGGGTTAGTGCCGGTCCCAAGCCCGGATAAAGTAGCAGGGTTGAGCATGGAGTTAGCGATCACATCCGTAGAAAACCAACTCGCTAAAAAACGCTAACCAGAAAAAATTACTCAAACCATTTGAACTCTGTTCTGTAAGTCACAAGGTATTCATTTAGAAGAGTTATGACGCCTCATGGTGAAAGCCGAGTTCCTTCGGAAACCACGAGGCTGATGCCCGTCCTAACAACCACAGCAACCATTTATCTAGGTACATAGAATGCTCGTACAATGTGGGAGACCGGGAGACTCTTCCGAATTGCTGCAAAAATGAGAAAATACAGCCCAGAAATGCTTGTGATCAGTGAAACACATTGGACGCAGGTGGGACAATAACAACTAGCTTCAGAAGAGTTTCTCCTATACTCCGGCCATGAACAAGAAAATGCCCCACATACACAAGGATTTGCATTAATGATGTCCAAACAAGCAGAAAATGTACTTATAGGATGGGAATTTCATGGACCAAGGATCATAAAAGCCTTCCTCAAAACAAAAAAAGAGGACATTACAATACACGCCATCCAATACTATGCGTCTACCAACGACTACGATGAGGACGTTAAAGATCAGTTCTACGATAGGCTGCAGTCGATCGTCGAGAAGTGCCCAACAAAGGACCTGACCGTTCTGATGGGAGATTTAAATGCCAGGGTTGGAATGCACAACACCTTATATGAAGACATCATGGGACGACATGGACTGGGAGAAATGAACAAAAATGGTGAGAGATTTGCAAACATATGTGCCTTCAATAAATTGGTCATAGACGGTGCCACATTCACACAAAGCTACATCGACTTCTCTGAATCACACTACACAGAACCAAATCGACCATATCTGCATCAACAAAAAGTTCAGGAGGACGATGGAAGATGTGAGAACCAGGAGAAGAGCACATATGGCCTGAAATCATCACTTGCTGGTTACCAAGATGAAATTGAAACTCAAGAAGCAATGGATAACGGCGCGGACATCACAAAAGTTTAATACGGCCTTTCTTCGGGATACTGACAAACTCAACAAATTTAAGATAGCCCTCAGTAACAGGTCCCAGGCCTTTAGTGATCTACTCAATGGAGAGGGAACTACTCTGGAGAGCAACTGGAAAAAGATAAAAAAAGACAATCACTTCAACATTTCAGGAGGTTCTAGGCCACAAGAATAGATCACTGTTTGTACACTGGATAAGATTGCAGAAACGAGGAACAAGAAGACAGCAATCAATATTAGCCGAATAAGAGCAGAAAAAGCCAAGGCACAAGCCGAATACACAGAAGCAAACAACCAAGTAAAGAGGAGCATCACAGTCGACAAACGTAAATATGTGGAAGATTTATCAATGACAGCGGAAAAGGCTGAAAGAGAGGAAAACATGAGACAACTGTATGATACAACAAAGAAGCTCGCTGGAAATTACCGTAAACCAGAACGACCATTGAGAAGTAAGGAATGCAAGGTAATCACCAACATTGCAGAACAGAGAAACAGGTGGGTAGAACACTTCAAAGAACTCTTGAATCGACCAGTTCCACTGAACCCACCAAACATCGAAGAACCACCCACAGACCTCCTGATCGATGTTGGCCCACAAACAATTGAAGAGATCAACATGGCCATCAGACAAATCAAGAGCGGTCAAGCAGCGGAACCAGACTACATTCCAGCAGAGGCATTGAAAGCAGATGTAGCAGCAACTTCAAAGATACTCCACATTCTCTTCAGTAAGATTTGAGATGAAAAACAAGTACCAACAGACTGGAAAGAAGGACTTCTGATCAAGATACCAAAGAAAGGCTATCTTAGCATGTGCGATAACTACAGAGGAATCACTCTTCTCTCAATACCAGGTAAAGTCTTCAACAGGGTGTTGTTAAACAGAACGAGGGACCCTGTTGATGTCCGAATTCGAGAACAACATGCTGAGTTCCGTAGGGATCGATTGTGTACAGACCAGATCACAACACTTCGGATCATTATGGAACAATCAATTGAATGGAATTCATCACTCTACATCATTTTCATTGACTACGAGAAAGCAATTGATAGCGTGAACAGAACAACACTGTGGAGACTTCTTCGACACTATGGTGTGCGTGAGAAGATAGTCAATATTTTACGGGATACAATGAACAGCTAGAATGCAGTTGGACGATTTAGATTTTGCAGATGATCTAGCTCTTCTACCACATACGCAACAACAAATGCAGTAGACGACCAGTGTAGCGCCAGCCTCACCAGCAGTAAGTCTCAGTATATACAAAGGGAAAAGCAAGATTCTCCGATACAACACAACATTCATCAACCAAGTCACACTTGACGGAGAAGCTCTGAACGATGTGGAAACCTTTACATATCTGGGCAGCATCATTGATGAACACAATGGATCTGATGCAGATGGGGCGGCGCGAATCGGCAAAGCAAAAGCAGTATATTTACAACTGAATAACATCTGGAACTCAAAACAATTGTCTGCCAACCAACACCAAGATCAGAATCTTCAATACAAATGTCAAGACAGTTTTACTGTATGGGGCGGAAACTTGGAGAACCATGAAATTCATCATCCAGAAGATACAGGTGTTTATTACCAGTTGTCTACACAAAATACTTCGGATTTGTTGACCAGACACTATCAGCAACATTCTTCTGTGAGAGAGAACAAACTAGATTCCATCCAGCAGAGGAAGAATCGCTGGAAGTGGATAGGACACACATTAAGGAAGTCATCCAACTGCGTCCCAGGGTAAGCCCCCACATGTAATCCTAAAGGTCAAAGGAGAAGAGGAAGATCAAAGAACACATTACGCCGAGAAATGGAAACAGACATGAGGAAAATGTACAGTAACTGGTTAGAACTAGAAAGAGAGGCTTAGGACAGAGTGTGTTGGAGAATGTTGGTCGGCGGCCTATGCTCCATTGGGAGTAACAGGCGTAAGTAAGTAAAGGAATTTGTGAAGACAGTAGTATTTTAACAGTTAAATTCCAGGTTTTCAATAGTAGTTTCGCTTAGACGGACTCGTGAATTCAACTGTTAAAATATTTACTCTATTTACTATTGTATAATTTTTCTGTATTGAGAAAAACTTCATGTGTAGTCTACGTCAATATTCTGACAGGAATTCACGTAAATTCATAATGACATTTTGTCATATACATATATACTTATATGTTATTTTGAAGTGTATTCACTTATGTCACGAATCTTTTCTAAACATATTGAATGACAGTTATGACAGTTAGGGAAATGTAATTTTCTGAAGACAAAAAATATAGACCATAGTAAACATGTATTGAATACTAGTTTTGAAATAATTGTCAGGTAATAATTTTGTCTAAGAATAAAACATGAGAAAACTCTACATAGAAAAAAAAGTTTGTCTTCTTTCACAAATGTATTACGTAGTCAGTAGCATTTTAAATGATAAAAACTTTTTATAGAATCGTATTTCCTCAATGATTTAGTCTTATTCAGTTAGAAAACTTGCCTAGAATGAAAGTACAAAACAGTAAAATGGAATTTTAAGCATTTATTTCCCTGTAGATTCATTATACCTGTCTGAATTACTGTATATGGAAAGACTGAAAAGTTATATTTTACTTCATCTTTGTAAATTGTTCCTTAGTGTCTACCCTAGGTGAATTCAGTTAAGGTTCGAATGGGTCTATGATAATGTAACGGTTTATTACACTAAGTTGCATAGATTCAAATCCTACAATGAGCTACAGTTCCCTTATGACTGCTGAAAAATTTTATTCACAAGTGGCATCCAGCAAGTAATTTACGTTCAGAGATATCTGACTAGAATTTTGATCACCCAATATCACAATCATTAAATATTGTAGTAACGGTTAGATGATCGGTGTTTTACCTATTCATAAATAGAGCTACATAATGATGAGTTATTTAAAAAAAAGTAAATGGTTATATGAATACACCTTAACTAAAATGGAACTGATTTCCTGTCTGAAGGTTTTCTATGAAGATTGACTGTCTTAAGCTGGCTATTGTGGCAATATCAGTACAATATTATACGAAAGTGGCTGTCAAGACTCAGTGGCCTAGTGGATAACGCGATGGCGTTTGAAGCGAAATGTACTGGGTTCGAGTCTCAGAGTGAACATCAACTGTGAGATGCAGGTACATCCAGCTGACGAGTCCCAAATAGAATGAAACGCGCGTCCTGGATTCCACTGCTAGCCACTATCCATCTTTGCTTACCATGCTTATGAATTTAGGCTATATCGAGGCATTACTCACAGTATGCACATATGCTAATTAGAGACTGACCAGTTGCAGTCCTAAAAACATCAATGGGAAGATCCAAACAAACAATATTATGTAAATTATACGAAATCGTTTAGAATTCGTTCATAAAGGTAGAAATAATCACTCTAATTAAGATTGTTTGAGAATATCACATCTCCAAAATCATAAGTTTCATTCCTAGGTAGGTAGAGGCGGGGGATCAAAGATGCTCTCTTTTGAAAAGTCACAAACTAACCTGAATCAGGAGTCCAATAGTCACCCCATTTTCAATGGTTCACAAGTTCATGTAAGCCCAAAATTAAAACTATTCTTGAATGAAACACTATGTAAATTCCACACATTCATTTGAATCACCAATTTATTTATTCATTCATTATTTCAACCTTTTGAAAAAGATATAGATAAACGTCAGATATATAGAAATATTCAAACATTCCCTCGATACTATACTTTGTGTTTATTATCTTTGACAGTTTTATAGACTATAATTAGGTTTACGTACAAGTGTTTGAATTCGTATAGTCAATGGTTGATCACTGAGTAATGACTAATATCATACTTATCAATTTCTTAGTGCTGATTGATCAAACTGGAATCTGAGGATCAGTTGAATAATGATGTGTTCTAATCAAACAGCAAATATTAGTCTGTCCAAGACTGAAGATTTACTTTATTCATAAGTACTAATTAGGATAAAATCTAGGTAAAAGTCTTTAGTCATCTAATCTAAATAGTTCAACTCTTATTCATATAAAAAATAATTAAAAATAATGACGAATATATTAACTTTTGATTTCATGTTGATCACTAATATGTAGTACATAGGGAATTAAGCAACAAAACATTGTCGTAAATAATCTGTGAATTCTAAGCATTTCTGACAGTTTCAACCCAGATACATTACATCAAAGAATTCATTGAACGATTTATTACAGAGTTTCTTTCGCTCAGGTTACAATATACGACATAGTTCATTTAACTAATAAGTAGGAGCACATTAAGCTATTGTTTTTAGTTGTCAGTTACTTAGTACTGGAATGATAGAATGCATTTTTAGCAGAAAGAAAATGATAAAGGAGCTCAGTGTGGTAAAGTAAATAAACCTTCGATGCCATCTTGAAGAATATTAATTATCCACCGTTGAAAACCTGAAAGCACCGTACATCCGTTTCGTCGTTGTATGGGGCTACTAGACGGTGTAGATCCACGACTGCGCTACCACAAATAGAACGCCTGACTTCTAGACCACTGACTCAGCATCCAGTGGTACATAAATCGAAATTCAATCAATTTAGGATATTGTGTGACCATCTCCGTAACCTGTAACAGATATTTGTCTCACACCTGACTTGGTTGAACTCAACTAGTCACGGCTTACCACTAGGACTTCAGACACGAAATTTTAAAACAAGTCACAAGTGAACACATGATTATTATGAGTATGGGGGGATTTTAGTTCCCAGTTATTTTCATTATTTCCCTAAATAATAACAATAACGTAATGATATTTTCCTTTTATATATATGAACTTCACTAATAACAACAAAAAATACATTGATATTAACAACCATTATTTTTAAATTATTTATCATAATTGTTATTTTTATATTTTGTTTATTTTTAATAATCAAATTAATTTATATAATTTTTCAGATGTTACACGTGTAATAATGGGTCAAACTATAGGTGGATTATGTTATGGAGTTTTTGGAGGTCAACCATTACTTGTACTTTTATCAACAGCTCCATTAGCTTTATACATAAAAAGTAAGTTATTTATTTTCAATTTATCATAGATATTATTATTTAATTTGATCTTATAATAAATGATGTCTTAATGAGTTGATATCTCCCAACATATCTGGTTGAACTCCACTGGTTACTGCTTCTCACCAGAACTCCAGGAAATACCTCATGGAGCCATTCTGATATATATATATATAATATACTGACTAGTGACTAGTGAGGTATTTTCTGGAGTTCTGGTGAGAAGCAGTAACCAGTGGAGTTCAACCAGGAAATGATGCCTTATTCAGATGGCATTCAAAAGTTTTCGTTCTCAGCATAGGTAAGTAAGCTCTTTTTCGATATGTGTCAACTATTTCATTTTAAGATATTTCAAATTATTCTATTTTACAAGTATTTTACATTTTTAACCATGAACAAAAATTATTCACATTTCACTGCCTTCACATTTTATTGGCTAAATTTGAATGGGTCATGAAAGAATGACATTAAATACGTGAAAGAAACAGAAATAAAATGAAAACTATTTGTAAGGTAACCTTAAACGAACTGATGTCACTACATATGTCAGAATTCTTGTCTCCAAGTTGGTTGATAACATTAGATTTTAAAAAAGCTTTCTTTTGCTTGACTTGCATATTTAAAGCCTGTAATCCAATCCTAAAACTATTCAGGTCCTCAAATTTTCGCATTACTTTTCAAACAGAAACATTTATATTTCAAACTGTGACTGATCTGTTTTCTTTTTACGTCAAGATCCTTTGATTTTAACTCAGAATTTCAGTGAAACTCATCATAATAGAAGTCTTTTATTCGAATGTATATACATTTTATCTCAAAAAACTAAATTCTACTGTTTACACATATGAAAATTTCAGCTGAAAATGAGTGCATTATCAAACTGTTTAAGAAAACATTTGATAACTTGACAAGTAGCACAAACGTCTTCACGGTATGTATGATCAAACTACAATAAACCAATGGCATTTCATTTTCCCTATTCTATACTCAACAGTCGATTGAATTTACATCACAGTTCATGTTTTTAATTTCATTAAAATGAGAAACACTAGATGTACATATCTTAACCATATATTGATGGTTGAAATGATTAGTTGATAAGGTTGAAACGTTCTAAACCACAGACGACTATTGCGATGTTTAGATACATGTTTGGCTTTGGTTTGTTTGAGCATAACTATTTCAAAATGCCTGACTTGTCTGTAATCTTTGCTAACACTTGGGAAAAGACAGTGGTATCTTAAAAATCTTTCTAACCAAGGAGATCCGTAGGTTTCATCAAGAAACTGTAAACTAACCCTACAACTTGTTTGAACTATGATATTTAACGTATGATTGGAACTTGAAATTGTGTTAACAATTAAACAGAACTGGTTTGAAATGATTTGCGATTCTAGCTTAAACTTTTCTGGCTACTAAGCTAATGAAATCAGGCTGCAAATGGTTTACAAATTAAATTACAGCAACTATGCTTTCATTTAATACTTTGAGCCAACACTAGATATCCACTTTCTAATATATTATGCCAATCTCCCTAGATAACGCAACTTACTGACATTAATGATTGCATGATTGTTAGAAGGTCCATAAATAAAAATGTGATAATTATTTATTTATTCACTAAAAGGTAATACAGTTCAACTGAATATGATTTATTAGCCTATAAGCAAACCACGTACATTTCTTACTTGTTTACTTACTTACTCTTGTTGTCCCTCATGAAGGAGTAATGATGGCCCACCAGAATTCTTTATCGAAAACAAAACTCCATCCAACTCTGCCCTGGGCAATCCTCTGGAGTTCTTTCCAGTTGATGTTCGTCCTATTCATGTCTGCTTCCTATTTTCAACTCAGTGTGTTCTTTGGCCTTCCTCTTTTTCGTTTCCCTTCAGGATTCCAAGTTAGTGATTGACTCGTGATGAAGTTTGATGATTTCCTCAATGTATGTCTTATACACCTCCATCATCTTTTGCTAACTTCCTCTTCAGGTGGAAGTTGGTCTGTTCCCTTCCACAGTAGGCTGTTGCTTATGGTATTCGACCAACGGACATTGAGCATCTTGTATAGACAAGTGCTTATATATGCTTGTACTATTTTGATGATGGTTGTGGTAGTTCTCAAAGTTTCATTTCCTTACAACAGAACTATCTTGACGTTTGTATTGAAGATTCTGATGTTGATGTTGGTTGACAGTTGTATTGAACTGCAGATGTTTTTAAATTGTAGAAATGCTGTCCTTGCTTAGCTGGTCTGTATCAGATCCTCCTTTTGCATCAACAATACTGTCCAAGTACATGAAAGATTAAACATCTTCCAGAGATTGTCCTTATATCTAGAAGTTAAAAATCTATTTTCGTATATTCATAAGCTTAATGTATACAAAAGATATCAAAATCTAAAGGAAAAGCTATAAACTCCACCCTCATATATAGGTAAATAATATTTAATCATTGAATTTCAGATTTAAAGGTTAAAGTTCAAATGTTTGTAGGATTCATTCTTATATCCAAATGTTGAAATTAATTTTCCGTCAATATCATTTAACCATATTTTGTTTAAATTTTATATAAAATACTTTATTTTAACTATATTATTGTTATTGTTCAATGTTCAATTTCTTTTTCCAGTTATTTATACTATATCTGAAACATATTACATTAATTTTTATGCAATGTATGCATGTATTGGATTGTTTAATAGTTTATTTTTAATCATCTATTCTGTTTGTGGATTTAGTCGTTGGATGAAATGGTCTACAAGGTTAGTTATTGTTTTTTTTTTAAAAAAATTTTCTACGCTTTTGTAATTGAACTGATATAAATGTGATCGTACCAAATTTTACAGTCCATTCTGTAAACAAGCACATAACATTTGTAATCATAAATAACACTAATCATAATCTAAACCATTTAAGTTAAATAAACATCTTGATTAATTTATCTAAAAATTCTCATTGAAAAGATCTGGAAGTAAAGAGTTATTTAGATGTGTTTTACGTGCTCTCAAATAAACGGTTTAGTAAAAAACGGTAACTTTATATCGAAATGAGCTTCTTAGTTATTCTACAAATTTTAAATCTGTTTATTCTAGTGACTTTAACTTTAATCGGTCATTCTTACAGATTTCATTGTTTTTATCTGTCTTTGTATTTTATTTGCCTATTTTTACGGTTGATATTTGAACAGGTTATTGCTTGACGTTTTTCTAATGGGTTGATAAGTCAGATCTACTGACTACTGATTGATTTGAATCTTATCCTTCCAGAAATTCTTTGAATTCTTTTAAAGTTCCTACATTTTAGAATGTTGACATTGTTTCAGTTGAATTTACATCTACATTTGTGGATATCGGTGATATTATATCATATTGTTTGATGAATAATTTATATTCATTTATGGATAGGTGAAGGGGGCATAAATAATTCATTCCAATGTTTTACTACATTTCTACAAGTATCTTATTATTATATGTCATCTGTTACATTTATTAGCTTGTTATTTTAATGCATTACAAATGAATAATGCTTTTAAAATAACAAACAAGATACATTTTTCTTCTGAATAAATAAAAACTAACAATATGGTGTGTGTTACTGATGTCGACAGATTTAGGCAATATGTATCACCAACCAAAAGTGACAGACCTAGAAGCAGAAGATTAAGAAGATCAATGAAAAGAGAACGAGAACAGTGAGAGACAAGTGTGAAAATGAAGAATTAATCAAGTCTGAAACAATTGATTTTCATTTTTCAAATGAAGTATTTACTGTATAGTTCTCAAATTTTACTAAGACATTCTATAATCTTGTTATGTAATTCATCCGATTGTTCACAGTTTTGTTCTCATTCACTGTACGAACACATATTGAAAAGAAAATAACAATTTGACTATTTTTATTTGAATTGTACACATATTAATCTATTTTTATTATTTTATTAACCTTTTTATTTAGTTCACATATATTAAAGGTACTTAGTTATCTCATTTAATTTATTCATTCATCCATTTACTTAAATGGTCTCCATTTTATTTTGTTTTGAATAGATGATATTCTATTCATTGTTTTATTGAATAATAATAATAATAATAACAGTGGTAATAATACTTGTTAGAGTAAATGAATAAAGTATACCCATTTATTATGTCAATATTCCTTTTTAGTCTTTTGCTATATGTATGTAATAAATGTTGTTTTTACTTTGGCTTACTCTCCTCTCTCTCCCTCTCTCACCCTCTCTTTTTATCTACTTATCTTGTTTTCTATTTAAATGTTTGTTTCTATATAGTATACTATATTTGTTACCATTATTTAGTTTCATAAATATCTTCTTGTATAGAATACCTAATTCCCCCTTTCTAAAGTCATAAATTTCTTTATATTATAAACAATATGTATGTAATCCTTTATATTCTAAGGATTATTTAATAGAATTAATTAATATTTTATTATGATACTAGGAAACTCTGAATACTACAAAAAAGGATCAAATGGACTTATTACTATGTTTCATTGTGTAAAACAGTAGTTTCACTGTTGTTTTTTTCATACCAATAACCATTTAATTGTATAGTTCTGTGAAGGTATAGACTGTTTTTTTTATTACTGATACATTAGATTCCATTCTTTTCTTTCATAATATTGTGAATAAACGAATCAAAATGGTTATTATTTTTTTATAGAACCAAATGTTTTTTTTTCAAACAGAATAGGTTCTCTTTCATTCGTTCCCCTCATAGTTTACATTCAATAGTTTTCTTCATGTTTACACAACATTTCTGAATACAGATTTTGACGCTACAGTTTATCATATATTGAATAATTGGATTATTAATCTATTTTATTCAACTGTTTAATCATCTTATCACTATAACCTTACAGTTATTACCAGTGGTAAACATGTTGATATGATAATGATTAAGAAATACTACTATCATCAATAAATTTGTCAATACCAGTAATGGGATTAATATATATACTACTATAAATAACTCGATAATAATAAAAATAGTAAAGTCACTACAGCCACTATAATTATATAATAATCATGAAGTTTCTAAATTTAGCCAATCGAGACGTTGTTCGATAGTAATAAACATATTATCAATCAAAATAGTTCTATTATTAATCTAGAAAAATAGAACCTTGGTGTTATTTTTTTTTACATTTTCAGTCAACTTTATTTCAAAACTATTGCACAAGTAGATGGCTATCAGGACTCAGTAGCTAAGCGGATAACGTGATGGCGTTTGAAGCGAAAGGTACTCAGTTCGAGCCTCAGAGTGAACATCAACTCTGAGATTCAGGTACATCCAGATGACGAGTCCCAAATAGGACGATTGTGCGTCCTAAATTCCACTACTAGCCACTATCCATCTTTGCTTATGAGAAAACCAGTAAAATAATTTATTCAACTTATCTAATATTGAAGAAATTACAGAGCCAACTACTTAATTAGTCAATAACTGATCTTTGACAAATAGTTACACAGTTTTGTAATAATTACAAATACGTTAACTTCCTTTCTCTAATGTTTACATCTGAATTTAACATTTTTTTTAAAAAAAATTATTCAGTTTAATTGCATCTGTATATTATCTGATAATTTTAGTAAAGTAAATTTCTTATTAGGTGGGATAACCGTAAACATTTAAATTGATGACATATTGTTGACATTATTCAATGAATGAATTCAGTTTATTTCTTCTTGTTATGATTAGGATTCAATAGGTTCAATAAACTGAGAGTAGATGATTATCTCCTTATAATAACATAATAATATACAAACAAGAAACTTAAACGAAGTCAGAACACGCTTATCGGCTTTATTATTATCGATTGGAATCTTTAAGTTTCTTTCCATATTTCATCATCATTCTAAAAGTTGACTTCGTCATAAAGCTTATGTACTATTACATAATACTAACAGCAATCGTGCTTATTACTTTATGTACAACAGTTATGTATGATATTTTATTAAAAATCATAGAAGTATATATATATATATAATCAATAAATATGAATAATATCACTATATGAAAAAGAAACATAAATAACAGGGATTTTCTAAATCTTTTTACAATTGACTGGTCACTGGATAATAATCAAATTTAAGGTATGTTAAATCCTTATTGGCGCTGGTTGAATTCGATTAGTTGAGTTGCATTGTGGTCACTTATCTCAATGGCTCGATATTGTATGCACTATGTTGACATGTAAAGGGATGATTCGAGATAGTCAAAAGGAAATGTTAGACCTAGCCATCTTGCTATTTGCCACTCGTCATTAAGGTATATCTATAATCTTAAGGGAGCTAATGCTCCTTGACGGGTTCGACCTCGTGTCAGAGATGTAACTACTCAACAGTCCAAGCCCTGACTAACCTCCTGTAGGACTGAGATATATTTACAACTAATTCAACAGTGGATAGTGTTTAATGTATTGATGTGAAGTCCTTCTTGATTCTGGTTAAATTCTACTGATCAACCATATTGATGAGTACCTAGAAGCAAGAAACCTAGGCCCAGGGTTTCCTGACGGCTATCCCAAACCACCACCTTAAATTTCTAAATCAGACTTCCACGATGTTAGATTAAATGAACTTATTTAATCATCAAATGATAATTGATATATGTATTAAACGTTCTGTCATATTCTTTGTTTTCGATTAAATGAAATATATCAGCCTAGTATCTGATCTTGTATTCAATACTAATTTTACTTTGCGACAGGTCAACAGAAGAGATATTTGCTATGTTTGTTTCAATGGCATTTCTATACGATGCTGGGAACGATTTGTATTCTAGTACGTATCTATTCATGCATATATATATTTATATATACTTTCTCTGAAGAGGGATTTATTTGTTGAACTGCATATCACTGTAATAAACAAACTATCCGTTTACTGTTGATTTTTATTTTTTCCCTTTATTTGAATTACATTTAACTCAAATCACTAGTATAGGTTTGAGTATCATTTATTTTCTACAAATTCACTGAATATATTTCTTAGGATGAGTACTGCTAAAATTAGGATAGTTTAAGTTGCAAAACGAATATGTTTCTATTGGCTTACAAGTTCCATTTATGCATGTATTCAAAATGAATCAAAATAAGAGGAAAGTTTCAGGCACAGCATAAAATTCGAAATTATTTGCGCTAATTTAACTTTTCAAATTCAAATATCGATGTAATTCTAATTCAGAAAATAATTAGAAATATTCAGATCTTTGTTAAGATTTTCCTAACCTGATTATTTTGCACACATTACTACTAGTGCCAGCAAGGAACTGATGAAAACTTCATGGTGTGATAGGTTTTATCAGTGTGTAATTATTTTATAGCTGGTAATGACTTGGCGCTCAAAATCCGTTGTTCCATTTTAAGTGGTCGATAGTTTAACGTTGTATTTGGGGATTGAACAAACAGATAGTAATTATTGATTGTGAAAATAACTCAGTCTTACAGAAGATTGTTCGCAACCCAAAAAGTGGAGCAGTCATTTTTAGTAATAAAATGAACACTAATCTTTTCAAGATGAAGATACACCATGATGATGAATTTCAACTATCACAAAACTTAGTTATCTGTGTTTTACCTCTTATTACCTGACAAAATAAATCTTATCGTTATTTAATAAACTGTTATAGAAAAAAGATATATTTGTGTTGTCTCCGTATGAAATTCGTCCGAAATGTTGCTATATACGAGATTGAACCTGATGCCTGAAGATCCTATGATGAACTTGATACATTTACCCTAGTATCAGAATTCATGAGCTCAAATTTCCAACATTTCAATAAACTTATATAAAAATTACATTTTTGCCGATCAGAATTTGTATTGTTGCACATTTTGGTCTCGATTTTAAGTAATAAATCACATTATCCACAGGAAATTAATAATCATTTATATAAAATGAATAACGATACTTATTTAACTGTTCTGTCTTAGGGTATTGATATAACACAATATTAAAGTAAGTTAGCACATCATCACTAATAAGTACACATATATGAGAATAAAATTAGTGATAATACTTAGGAAAATCTATCTACATAATTGTTAATATAAAACATGTATAAATTTCAGACATAGTATGACCTATCAATAGTAACAACAAGTAAAGTTACCGATGATAAAAAGTGAGCACACAGTAACAATTTGGTTTTATCAGAAGGGGGTTGTGTGGAGATTTCAGTAATTTTATATAGTTGAAATCATGAGTCAATTGAAGCTAGACGATCATGGAAAACCTGGAAGCACTGGACGACCGTTCCGTCCTGTTGTGGGACTCATTAGCACTGCTCATCCACGATCCCATCTCGCGAGATTCAAACCCAGGACCTGGCTCTATGAGGTATTTCCTGGAGTTCTAGTGAGAAGCAGTAACCAGTGGAGTTCAACCAGGTCTGTTGGGAGATATCAACTTACTGAAGACATTGGTGAATGGTTGCTCAATTTCCTTTTATATTTAAAGATTTCATTCTTTACAATTTAGATATAATATTGACAATTGTATTTGTCTAGGTAAAGTTGAGTGTTTGAATAAAACAAACACTTGTAATAAATTCTTATACTGTTAAATAAAAAAGGAAATGTTTTAGTTAATTTGATAAATTAACTTTGATAATTTAGCTTTACATAAAACATAAATGATGTTCTGCTAAAGGAGTGAATTATATGTAATTACTTACTTACTTACGCCTGTTACCCCTAATAGAGCATAGGCCGCCGACCAGCATTCTCCAACGCATTCTGTCCTGGGCCTTTTTTTCTAGTTCTATCCAATTTTCGTTCATTCTTCTCATGTCTGTCTCAATTTCTCGACGTAATGTGTTTTTTGGTCTTCTTCTCTTCCTTTAGCCTTCAGCAGTATATCTAATTACCAATACGTATATTCACGATCCTATTCCACACTATACTTTATTTGTGATTAAAGAAATTAATTACACAATTTATCTTTGTTACTTTTTTTTATTTCCCAGTTAGTGAATTATCTAAGTATAGTACTTATGGCAAATTTGAAAAGTACTAAAGTGATACTGCCTTTTTCCCAACTACAATGATTTGCTTCATTTACATTTGTCATTTTCTACAATATCTTGAAGTAAATTGTTTCTTTATCTCATTTTCACCCTCTCTTTCTCTTATCCCTTTTTCTCCTTCTTTTTTTTGGTTTATTCAAGCGTTTCAAGAAAATTATCATTGTAAATTATCAACAAATTATTCATTAATATCAAATGAAACTTTAAATATTCAGGGATTTGATATAAATTTCATTCATTCAAATTATTCATTTAGTAGAACTTCTATAGAAAATTGTCCTGAAATATTATCATCCAAATCATTCCCATCATTATCATCATCATCATCATCATCATCATCAACGTCTTCTACACTCTCATCGTTACCATCACAACATATAAATAGAAATATTACAATTATCCAGTCAGGATGTCAACGTGAAGTTGCATTAGTTTATTTAGTTTTACTTTTAGGTACAGTATGGATTGCATTAAATCTTTTAAATTTTACTAAAACGTAAGTTTATTTATTATTAATTATGAAATGTTAATAGTAAATAATAAACGTTATTTCAAGATTAATCCATTTAAAGAAATATTCCAGGCTTATTATCAACTATAAATTGACAATTGTTGATTTGATTTGATCATATTACTTGTTCTAATAATGTTTATAAACGGAATATGTCTTAATCAAAGGTATAAATAGTATATGCATGAATTAATTACCAAGTAAATACTAAAATGTTTGTCTAGATCCTAGAATATAATGAATGCTATCGGTCACACTATAAGGGGAATTGATATTATTAATCGAGATTCTATAATTTGTCAGTTCAATCTAAGACAATAAAATATGGAACATAACATTGATCTTACATACTTAATAATCAATTTTGTTTAAATAAACATGTGCATATCAATGGACATTAGATTAATGTGATGATAATGATACTGGCTTCAATATTTAAATGTGAATAACTTTTTAAAGTATTAGTTCAGATGACCAACTATAAGTCGAGAGAAAATTTGTATGTTTCCCACAAATGCCTATTTTAAATAAATAATTTAAACTGTTTGTCTGCTGTGAACAAATATATTTATCATTTAGAAGTACTTGCAGACATGCGATATACATAAACCATAAGTGGACTTATTCAATATACTTTTCAGTAATAAAATTAACCATTTTAATTCCATGTCACAGATTTCTATTTACATTTCATAGTTTTGAAAAGCATTGCCCTCAAATGCCCTGGTGCCCTCAGGGTGAGGAGAGCCAGCTCTCCCTCTCGAAATGCTTTCACATGTTCACGCGTATACAGCCACTACCAGGGAAGTCCTACTCACCGCCTTCTTGTGGCGGGGTTGTTGTTTACGAAATTGAGAGGACGAAAAGCGAATGTCCGGTGCTTTAACTGGGTTGGTGGATATGGAGCATCTACCTAGGTAAGTTTAAAAACCCTGATTGCAAACCAATGGTTCACAAGGGCTCCAGGATCCAGAAGGAACAATTGGCGTATGAACCAACTGTTGATCACCGGCTACCATGAGAATGCTTCTCCTTACGTTGATCCACTGCTTTGTGGATCAGACATTGAGGTCGTAGGCTCCGTGTATGTCTACTTTGGTCTTGGCACCCGAGCAGTATAATAGCCCACTCATAAATCAAGTAACTTGTCTGGCGCATATGTATTCGGTACCCCTTTGTACCATTATTTATGTGTTCAAATAAGTAAATAAATAAATTGCTGACTAGACAAGTTGAAGTGAATACTGCTTCAAAGTATTTAGTGTTCTTTATCTGTAGTGAAATGAATAATTGAAAAACCTGCTTTCTTGACTGAAATAAGCTATAAGTAAAGAACTATATGTAGAATCTTAATAAATATGCTTAGAGACTGACAAATCTTGAACACTTTTAAGGAAAAGATTGATGTAAAAGAGAGATATAAATTTTTGTATCAAAAAGAAAAATATCGGCAAAATCATGTTCGAAAAAGGAATAACGAATAATTTTCAGAAAAATAATAAACATCTCTGGAATGTACATATTTCTTGAATAAAATAACTGCAATTGTCCTAAAGCTTAAAGGTTAAGTAGTTGGGTTCATGAGTCAAGTAAAACTAGACCACCATTGAAAACCTGGAGTCATTGGACAGCCATTTCGTTCTAGTATAGGACTCTTCAGCAGTGCGCACACGGGATTCGAACACTGGACGTATCGATCTCGGAATCGAATGCTTAAACTCTAAACCACTGAGTCATTATCCACCGGTGTTAATGTTTAACTTCAACTAACCCACGAAATTGGGCGACTATCCACCAGTTCATTTAATATTAAACATATGATAACTGGTATATATCCTTTTTCAATATAAGGAAACATAAACATTGAATGGGTCGATTCACACTAATAATTTACCAACAAAAAAGTGATCATTCAATTATAATTGAATAAATTTTAGAAGAGAAAAACATTAGCTGATTGAATGAACACTTAGAATTAAAGTTATTATTTATTTTTCATCAAAGTAAATTCAGTTGTAATGGTATAGCTATGATTTATTTCTAAATAATAACCATGAATAGAAATACATTACTAAGTGTTTAATACTTGAATTCATAAGTCAATCTAAGCTAGACTACCATTGAGAAACCTAGGACGAAACAGGAATCTAGTGCTTCTAGGTTTTCAATTGTAGTCTAGTTTAGATTGACTCGTTAATTCAACTATTAAAAATTACTACAATCTCCACAAATCTCCATTCTGATACAAACTTTTTAATAAATTATATCTATCTATGGTAAACGTCTCATAATTGGTTAGTAAATGAAGTTCCATCTAATATAACAATCATATTTAGATATGTTATTCATGTTAGATTCCGATGATTTTTTTCATAAACATCGTTTAGAACTGATATAAGGTATTCACACTATTTTTACTTCAAAACTGCTGTAATGGGTTCAATGATAAATGTTTTGAATGAATAGTTTATAAACTTGATTTCAACCATTAGGATTTGTACTAACATAATTTCGTGGTTTCCATACATTTTGAGACAAATTGTTTTAAAGATATTCGTTCAAATCATGATAAAATATTATGTAAACCATCAAAAGCATTATTTTGAATAATCTTTGGATATTTTATCAAGATTTTGCTTGTCATCTTAACGGAATATCGGGAGAATTCTCTTTTATTACAATGACTATTAACCAGAAAACTGGCGAAAAGGCACAAGTCACTATCACTGGAACTTTTCACTTTAAGCATGATAAATTAGTGACATTTTTTTAACATTTATGGAATTCGAATCGAACTATGCTTATCAGTAAACTCCTTCCCAAAATAGCTCTAGATACTGATATCATTTGAATAGATCAAATGGATTACATAAAACTGAGCTGCTTAGTTTCTAATGAGTAACTAAAATATTACCAATTAATTACTGTTCTGCTCAAATTAGAATTCCGCTTGAATTCACAAAGATTAAATTCAAGTTGAAAACTTTCATAAGATTTTGTTGATCAATATGAAATGAAATAATCTACATTTTAATGTGAAAATCCCTTAACATTCATAATGTATGACTACTCAGAGTTGTTCCGTCATCAAGAATCAGTAAACAGCATAAATTTGGTTCATTTGTCATTTCAGTAGCTTAAGTTAATTTTGGATGTAGCCAAACACAACCTTAATGGTTTAATTAAAACCCATTAGAAGCCTATTGAACAAATCAAGATGCTAAATATAGCTTGTCAATCAATGACATTATTTTGTTTTTGAGGTCATCTTGCACCTGATTTTGAAATGTTCATTCTCTCTGGAACCAAAATAAAAATTGTTTATTACAATTTAATTTATTTATATGCTCAATTACACTGGCATATTTAAGATTTTCTTGGTATATTGTAAACTTCCAGCTTTATTCACCAATGATTGAATATGTGTATATTAAAGATTTCAAACAGTAGTCATTTATTATTTGATAAAAACAAAATAATTATTTCGCATCAAAATTTAAACTACAATTCTACCAAATACATCGTTTTAATTACAAATATTAATTAATAAATGTATTCATATAAACCTTAAGTAAAAACATATGTATAATTTCAAATAGGGGTTTTGTGGATGTCCTAGTGATTTAATAGTTGAGTTTACGATTCGATTGAGAACTTGGAAGTACTGGACGACGGTTTCGTCCTATTATGGGACTCCTCAGCAGTGCGCATGGGATTTGAATCCAGGACCTATCGATCTCGCTCGCAAACGCCTAACCTTTATGCATATTTCAGTGCATTAATAATATTTAAACTATTTCAATAAATTACATAAACATCAATATGTAATAAACGAAAAATATTTGTAAATTGAACATTAAATTCCATATTATATAGTATTGCTTAACAAATATATAGTTCTCTTTTTCCATTCTCATATGTATTATTATCTTAAAGTCATTTACCATGCTATCTTTATATCTTTATTAAACATGAATAGATAAGCATACATATATGAATAAGTGCAAGTTATTGGAATGGTGCTTTCTTTCTTCATAAATATTGCATTCTTTGTGATATGCAATAGGGTAAACGACTAGATTATTATTCTTTTTATTTTGTTTATTTAATGTAAAGATTTTATGACTACAAATTCCATCGGTTATATTCTAGATACATATATATCTGTACTGATTTAGCAGAGGCTATAAAAAGGTGATCTGTAAATCTATTTTCTTTTTTATATCTAACAAGCAGAATTCTTTTCATCAGCTATTTTGTTACCATTAAAATACCAACTACAAAATCACTATTAAATCAATGGATAGTAAATATTTAATTTGCTTTATTAGTGTTACAGTTATAGCTAACTTAAAAAATTTATGATTAGATCTTACTGTTGAAATGAATTAATCAAATGAAAATTAGATAACTTGGACAACTATTCTGATCTGAATTAGTCGATGTGTTTTTTATAAGTATTTATTGAATAGTCAATTGGTAGGGCATTAATCAGTCATTGGAATCATTAGTTATCTTTTAATCTTTGAATTATTTAATAGTTGAATTCATGAGTCAAGTAAAACTAGACCACCATTGAAAACCTGGAGTCATTGGACAGCCATTTCGTTCTAGTATAGGACTCTTCAGCAGTGCGCACACGGGATTCGAACACTGGATGTATCGATCTCGGTATCGAATGCTTAAACTCTAAACCACTGAGTCATTATCCACCGGTGTTAATGTTTAACTTCAACCAATCCACGAAATGGTTGTTATATATTTTAATGTTTGTTAATAGTTGTTTATATTACAAATAAACCAGATCGCATCATACCACAAAACAGAAAACAACATTTGTACAGCATCAAGCCAAAAAGTGGCTGCGATTGTGAGATACTGTAACTAATAAATTAGGAATAACTTAAGAATAGTAAATCACATGATAACAATCAATAGGCCAAATGGGAACTAATAGTAAAAGGAATATGAATATACATACAATATAGTTACTTGTTAGTTATACAGTTAGAATATATATAATAACAGTTCATAAATAGATCCTAGCAGTTACCATTCACTTATTCTCCGTCCCAATATAACAGCATATTTCTTAACCAGCTTAGTCAACTAAAGACCTAATGATTAATTCGAACGTTTATACATCTCCATTAGTTCTTGTACCAAAGTAACCAGTTATTTATCATTTTGATTTTGATAAATCACTACAATAAATTAATTGTGACTAGTACAAATACATTGACTTAACGAATTTTAAACATTTTTCGATGCGACACAAAGTCAAAATATCTTAGGAAGGGTAAAACAAGATATTTTTCTTTAAGAATGTAACTGATAAGAACTACAAGTATTCATCTTTTATATGAACATAGAAGTTTTCAAATATATATATATAGTTGAAAGCATGAGTCAATTGAAGCTAGACCATCAAGGAAAACCTGGAAGCTTTCGATTATGAAAATACTGAAATCTCCACAAAACCCCTTCTAATATATATATATATATATATATATATATATATATATATATATATATAGGTCTGGAGTACAATGGTAAATTGTAAACTCTTTATTCGATGTATTATAACTCAATGAAATATTACTAGACAAAAAACGAAGCCATTTTGGTTTTCTCAATCATGTTAATGTAATCAGAAAACAATGAAATATGAATACAGTCATTGTCACATTCTTTCTATTGACCTACCATTAACTTAATATGATTTTCTAGAAATTTAACATTAATACCATGAAAAGAGAGGTTCTTGTAAAATTGAATATATAAATGTTTTTAAGTATTATCTAATTATTTTGTTTGTTGGATAATATTCATTGTTTTTTTTAATAGACCATTTCTTACTGCTACAAAACGGGAAATATTAACAGACTTTGCACTACCTATAGCAGTTGTTAGTATGTCACTTGTTGGATCCTTAATATTTGGTGACATAAAATGTAAGTTGATTGAATATTATGTTAAATGAAATGTTATATTGAATTCACAGGCTCAAACCTCTCCACTAACTGAATAAAATCGAAATCATAAATGACGGTGTGTCTGTGATACTGGATAATATACCATTTTGATTGTCAATTTTTGTTAACTTAGGTAGACCAGTAACAAATTACCAACTACAAGTATATTATGACTTTTTTCCTGTTAATAATCATTTGACAAAACCGCCAATTCGAATACCGACTTATGTGACCTCGTTCTTGTGCTTAAACAATGATACGCCAAAACTGAAGTAGCAGCCTTGTGTCTACTCTGAATTCTTATTGGTCCTTATCGCCTAACTCTGACCGTTGAGTACAGAAAGCATTCTCAGTCTCCACTGTATGAATAATACATTTCAGATATACGTAGTTTTAATACAAGCAAATCAGATTGCATCACACCATAAAATGAAGCATAATAATTAGTTAAGATCAAGACAAAAGTGACTGTAACTGTGAGAATGTAACTAATAGGTTGGGAATAACTTAAGAATAGTAAATCGTATAATAATAGTCAGTAGGTCAATTGAAGGCTCTTGATGAAAGAAATATAAATACATATAACCCAGTTACTTATTAGTTATACAATGAGTATATATATATATATATATATATATATATATATATATATATATATATATATAATAACAGTCTATAAATAGCTCCCGGAAGTTACCCATAATTTAATCTTCTCCGGATACAATACAGCAGAAAAATCTGTATCAGTACAAAACAATAAGGAAACTGGGGAATCACGGCATTATTACAACAAAATTCTGTCCCACTAAAATACCATTAAGAACAGATATTAAAAAATTAGTAATATTATTCATAGAAACAGTAATCACAACATAAAAGACCAATACGTCATATATTTTTACTCTTATATCAAATGAAATTTGTATTCATGACTTGAAATCTTGATTAATTACCAAACAAAGTCTTTTAGACAGAAATTTTAATTATAAATGTAAATAAGATATACATTCCTTTAAATGTTTTTGATAAACATTATTAACAATGTATGCACGCTTGGTTACATACATTTTGAATAAATGATCAGACAAAAGTAAATTCATAAATGAAAGTGTAGGAGGATAACTAGGATGATATGTGGGTGTTTCATGTTTTCTTTAACTATAATTTCTTTCTTTCAAAAAAATATCTTATCTCTATATATGTTTTAATGAAATAAGCAAATATGAATGTGTTTAAAATCTTTTATTGACCATATGTTCATACTGTGAGTATTCTCTCGATATAGCCTTAATTCACAAGAATTATAAGCAAAGATGCCTATATGCCAATTAATGCCCTGAATATCATTTGAGAGATTCAAACAAACAATACCAAGTGAATTTAAACTTCATCCGATTGCACAAGCAAGTGCCTCTCATGACTCAGTAGGCGAATGAATAACGCGATGTCGTTTGAAGCGAAAGTTACTGGGTTCGAGTCCCAGAGTGAACATTAACTCTGAGATGCAGGTACATCCAGCCGATAAGTCCCGGATAGGACAATTGAGCGTCATGGATTCCATTGCTAGCCATTATTCATCTTTTTGTTTATAATTAAATATTTGAGTTTCCATTTTGTAAACTCAGATTTTTGTCTTAATGTAAATACAATAAAATTATAACTCATCATCTTATCAATAGTCCTAGATTGCTTTAAAAATGTATATTTTACTGAAATAAATTAAATTTTTATAAAAACAAAAACGAACTTCTCAATCGAAGATTTATATTATAACTAACAATCATTTCTTGTCATACGAGATGTTAAGTTATCTGGAACAAAACGTAATAGGCATCTCAGAAACTAGAATTGAGTTTGAGTACTTCGGAAAAAAAATCAATTCACATATGACTTAAAACTAGAAAATATCATATTGTTTTCTATTCAGTGTATGTATCCTGCGTAAATTGATATATTTTCATTTGATTACGTAAATCTATCTTGTCACATTGTTTGTAATAAATAAAAAATGTGAAATTTTCGAATACGTTTCTATTGATTGAATTCTGTTGAATGAAACTGTAGTAATCAGAATTATTGACTTCTATGTTGTACATATTCTTTGGTAAAACCTGTAGTAGATAGATAAGTTATAGTTGAGATCATGAGTCAATTGAAGCTAGAACACCTTGGAAAACCTGGAAGCACTGAACAGCCATTTCGTCCTATTGTGGAACTCCTCACCAGTGCGCATCCACGATCCCACCTCGCGAGATTTGAACTCAGAACCTACCAGTCTCACGCCGGAGCACTTAACCTATAGACAGCTGAGCTGGTCAATATCCAACGGTGTTAATGTCTAACTTCAAACAATCCACGAAATTGAGCAACCATTTACTAATGTCTTCAGTGAGTTGATATCTCCCAACAGACCTGGTTGAACTCCACTGGTTACTGCTTCTCACTAGAACTCCAGGAAATTTCGTGGGTTAGTTGAAGTTAGACATTAACGCAGTTGGATACCGGCTGGCTTAGTGGTCTATCGGTTAAGTGTTCTGGCGTGAGACTGGTAGGTTCTGAGTTCGAATCTCGCGAGGTGGGATCGTGGATGCGCACTGCAGAGGAGTTCCACAATAGGACGAAATGGCTGTTCAGTGCTTCCAGGTTTCCCATGGTGTTCTAGCTTCAATTGACTCATGATCTCAACTATATAAAATTACTAAAATCTCCACAAAACCCACTTCTGATAATAAAATAGACTACAATGAACAGATCAGACTGAACATAATGCTGTTGTAATGAAAGAGGACACATTTGGGGACAACCAACTGCATTTCGGTAGGAAATTACAGAGCATGTTGGTAAAATATTAGAACCATACACTAAACACTTCATTTGCGAATTTCCATCATTGGTCTTTCAAATTTTGTATGATTCTTCCGATTAACAATTCCTTTCTGATTCCGTTTCAGTTTTTTCAAGTTGACCTTTATAGCTTTCTGCTGCTAGAATTTCCACTTCGGATTGGTATTACATACTACTTATGTCTGTCGAAATTATTAGCATACGCCACGCTGTGATCAAAACTAAGCTATTATGTTATCTAAATTTGGATATTTTTTAGGTCATACCAAGCTAACAGACAAGTAAATATTGTAATTTTGTCCTCAAAAATGATATGTATATAAGTAAACAGATAAATAGCTACGTTTACTTTTACCCAATTTGATTTCAGTCTACTTAAGACCAAAACCATGAAAGCGTCATGAACATAGTCCCTAATGAGAAGACAGTTACGGTAGTGAAAATAAAAGTAAACAAGTGAATTTAACAGTCAGATGAATATACCTTTTGTTCAGTACAGTTGTAAAGCATGATAATCGGCAAGAACAATGTGCATTTATTGAGAGAAGTTACAATGCATTTAGATAATAATTCTACATAGCCTCCAATCGTCCATTTCAATCTTTCAGTATGTTCCATCACCTCAATTGTATTCTCGTTTCATCTCCAAGTGTTCTGTTAATACTGTGCTTTCTATGAACTGAAACTCCTCACTCCGTCTGACGTATGTCGCAACTTCGATGACTCCTTTCGTTATATACTGCTTACAAACACCCTTGTGAGTAGCATCTACTACACAGTGACAAACATTTTCTAAGTTCAACTTGACAATAAAAGTGTTTTCTTTATTACATGCATTACCTTTATCTAAAAAATACTACTATTAAATGGATCACTTTTTTTCGAAATTTCAACTTACCCGCAGTAAAACCATTTGAAGTTGAACCATCCGATTTTATGTTGAACAAAGCCCCATTGAACTTACTAAGTTGGCCTGCTGTACTCGGATCTATTGGTATAGCTATCCCATTATCATTATTATTTTATATGGAACAAAATATTGCCAGTGCTATTCTAAACTCCCCATCTAATAAGTGAGTAATAATTTTGTTTTTCTTAGTTTTTCTTTATTTTATTATTTATAATAGCTGTATTAGATTTCATTATTCGAGTGGACAAACAATATGAATTTTAAAAAGAGAGATGGATGGTGGCGTGTAGTGAAATCCAAGACACAAGTTTCAGTCAACTTGTGATTCGTCAGCTGGATGTACCTGGATCCCAGAACTAATATTCACTCCGGAACACGAACCCCGTACCGTTAGCCTCAAGCAACTAATGCAATATGAAAACTCCACCCCATCTCACAAGCTTGCGGCTATTTGAACTCAGTAGGTACGTAGATAAAGCGTTGAGATTTGAAGCAAACGATACAGTGTTCTGATCCCAGAGTGAACATCAACTCTGAAATGCAGATATATACAACTAACGAGTCCGGAATAGAATGAAACACTCATGCTGGACTCCACTATTAGACATTGTACATCTCTGTTCATTACCTTCGTGTCTTGAGGCAATATTGACGCAATCTGAACAGGATGTACATACGTCAATAAGAGACTGATCAATTACAGTCCTAAACATTAGTGAGAAGATTCAAAAAGTAAATATAAGATAAACTAATATCAGTTTTAACTTGATCTTATTCACTGTCTTATCCGACGATATTCTTTTTATTTTACACAAAATTCTTATCAACAGTCCTTTAATAAGTCAACAATAAATTTTAAGCTTTAGATTCAAACTAACAAGCTTGATATTTTTAGTATTGTTTCAGCTGATTGAAGCAAAGAACTGAAATTACTGTGATATGATTTAAAAAACAGTGTTTTCAAGTATTCAATTGTAGTGAAATCCTTTAGCTTTTGAATGATTAAACTATTATTATAAACCATCAAGAAGTAATCCTTCTTCTTAGTTATGATACATTATTGATGCTAATGGTACTAACATTTGAAATCTTTTCAATATTGTATTTAAGTTAATAATTTCAAGCGATAAAACTGAGTTCTAATAAAATATATTCGTTCATGAAACAAAATAAATCCAGATCAGTGTTAACCTTTTATAGCTCATGAGATTGTCAGTTGAACAAAAATATATTCATGGTTGGTGATTTGTCAGAGGCTTTAATGACAAAATGAGAACCATCAGTAACTTTTGACTATTATTTTCTTAAAATTTAGCTGGTTCAAACAGATTACTAAAATTTTATAAATCTGGGTGATTTTGATCAACTTCCTGTTGCTATCATCATTCAATACTTCCAAGAAATAATTTGCTGCAAAATGAACTTGTCTTATCATTTCATACATTTTCCTGCTTGAAATGATGACCATCGTTCTATGTTTGCTGTGAGAATCGACTCTATATATTATTATTATTTCGATGAAACAGGATTTTCTAATTCAGTATTGACCACAATCGGCTTATTTATTGCTGACAACCACATTGGTCTTCTATAGATAACAGGTTTTTTAAGGTTCATAAAACATTATATTATTTCGTTATCATATTTCAGAATTCTATCGCAGAAGATTAAAACGGTCACTACATTAATTCGATTATGTTTTACTGGTTGCTCGTTGAAATTTTTATAGAAAACGTTTCTTCGATTTCCGTTATGTCAAATCACTCAGGAAGCTGAATTTCAATATTATCGGCTAAGATGAGCCACGGCAATGCAGGGAGGAAGTTGTTCTTAACTAGACTTAGACTGAGTCTAATAAGAAATTCTTTCTTCGAACAATTCAAGATACCTTAATGTGCCTTGAGTAGTATGTCTTAAAAGGCTATATGAGTAAAAACTTTACCTAGGAGAGCACTTTAATTGAAATGTTCACTAGGGGTATTATCAATTAATGGAAACGATTTTCAAAACTAGTAGAAATCAACCAAGCTTTAATAAAAATGTACTTCATGTAGAAAATCGCTGTTATCGATTGTCAATAGTCATTACCTGCCCATCTGTTTCGTAATATGTGAGTAGCTGTTAGTATTAATTACTTCATATAAGATAGAAATTTTCGGCCTCCCTCTTTTAATTTGCTTTACTTGCTTATCATAGACTAAGAAAAGGACCATCAAATCATTGGGACTTATTTGTTATAGCACTTATCAACATTGTATTATCAATATTTTGTCTTCCATGGGTTCATGCAGCTTTACCTCATACTCCATTACACGTGAAAGCCTTAGCGGATATGGAAGAGCATGTTGATGGTGGACATCATATTAGACAAACGTAAGTTTCATTTTTAATTGAATTCAGAATAAAGTTTGGCCCGTTCAAAAGATAGTGAAAATGATAAAATACCAGTAAAAATAACTCATTTGACGACACTGCTAGAATTTAATAGTTTTCAAGTTTTTTTCTGTTCTATTATCTCAGTATCTAGTAAACTAACTACCCATATTAAATAATAATAAAAATATCTGGTTTACTTTATAATTCTATCTTTGAGGCATAAACTATAAACTTTAAGTGAGATAAAAAAGCAGATATCAAGTGATTGGAGACGATCATCAGAAATCTTCGGAGTTACGTTTCGTACTAGTTAATCTGAGATCTTTATCCTCGACCTCAATGAATTCCCGTAAAACTTTCAGTTCTACAATAGGTTAGTCATCATCAGAACAGTTCATTAGTAAAGTTTTCAACTATAACTCAGTGTGATATAGGCTTGAATATTAATATAAGTATCATTCCCCCCCCCACAAGATTTTAGACACGCTTATCTATCAGTGTCAGTCAACTACCAAATATTGGATTCAAACATACAAACTAATTGCATAGAAATTTATTGTTAAATAGTGTTTTTAAGGGAAATATCAAGATAATTCAAGACATCTTGATAGTATTAGCAAAGAAAATACAATACACGAAGATATATTATTTATCCAGTATTGATATATGGAACTAGACAATGGCTATATATATATGATGTGTGTTTTTATTTTACAGTTATTTATAAACAAACTATCTTTGTGTTTTTTTTGCTCAGTATTATTCGAGTACGTGAAACAAGATTGACATTATTTATTTCACATGTACTTATTGGATTATCATTAGCAATGATACCTTATCCATTGATTTATATACCTCCACCTGTATTAAATGGTCTATTTATTTATATGGCTATAACAGCTTTACAAGGTAATCAAATGTTTGAAAGAATATTACTTTTTATTACAGAACAAGTAAGTACTATAATTAAATTGTATAAAGTCTTTTCTTTTTCACTTATTATTGTTTGTTTGAATCCAGCTGACGAGTCCCAAATGCGACGAAATGCACGTCCTGTATTCCACTGCTAGCCAATATCCGTCTTTTCTTTTTATTTTTCTTTCTGATCTTTTATACAATATAATTTTTTTCCCAATATAATAAGGGAGTATTTTAATTGAAACAAAGTGATATACTTTCGTATTAACTAAAACGTAAGCGAATTTCAAGATCAACAGGCTGGACTCCATAAGGATCGATCGTTTACGGACAAAATCGAGACAACACCGATCGCTGTTGAATAATCAGCTGAGCGGAACTCGTCACTATACATCAACTTCCTTGACTTTGAGACTTTTGTGTTTTTTTAACGTTATCGTGATATCGTAAATTAAATTTTAAAAAATGCAAACTCGTTTACTATACATACAAGTTAAATTATTTATTAGTTTTCTGGTTCATTAAAGTTATCAACATACAATGCACGAAGTAGTAGATGAATCTAAATAAAATTTTGATGTTTTAAAATAATAAAGCACACATCAAATAATTTCGATGGTGTTTTGTTCTCTAAGTTGGATGGTTTGGTCGTGGAGTTTTCATTGTTATTCTGAAAAACATCATCAGCACAAACTTCAAGTAGAAATGAAGAGTTCGAATTTTTCCACATGCGGCTCACAGACTGTCTTGCAAACCTCAATATTGATTGGTTATTATTGACCCTTAACCTCTCATTGTCTACTTCTTTATTTTGATTGCATCTCCCATTGATTTGATTTTCGGTCCCATATTTGTTAGTAACTTTTCTAATTGGTTGATAAATTAGGTCGGTTTTAATGTGTTTATTGATTGCTGATTGACCTGAGTGCCAAGCTTCTAAAAATTCTCTGGCGTTTTTTAAACCGCTTCTATCTAAGATCACAACATCACATGATTTGCTTAGTTTGATTTTCTTTTGAAATTCTTATGTAATCAAATGAATCTAAAATGATTGATCTTTCTCAATATCACCGATCCAAATAGTTTATTTTCACTGCGTTTTATAAGGGCTTAAAATGATGGGTAGACCTCGAACAGATTTAATAATAATATTTGGTTAAATGTAACGATTTTAGCGAATCTGACTTTTGCTATTCTTTAAGACATATTTCTATAACACATGATTAGGAAAATAAATTGAATATTTCAATCAATTCTCAACAATAACCAACCATCGCTCATCGGATTCAGTGGGTAACTGTCTCACAGTCCACATAGTTAAGCTCAACTGGTCACAACTACTTACTCTAAGGATTACCACCTTAAATAAGTAGTCTTTAGTAAACACGTGATTATCATGCAAATAAGGCTTTATGAATTTACCAAATTTTATAGCTTGCACAACAGATCAACCTCAGTTAGACAATCATTAAAAACTAGGAAATATTGTGCAGTTATCTCATTCTAGCATCGCATTCTTCAACTACAAAATAAAAGTGTCTTTACAAATGCCTCTACAACCAACTTATTAATTATTTTATTCATAGTATCAGTCATCTTTTATGTATATTTATATATTTTGATACATCCTCTTATCGTCTTAACTTTTTTCTCTTTTAGTCGGCTTATCCACCATCACACTATATAAGACGTGTACCACAAAGAAAACTCCATTTATTTACATTTTTTCAGTTAATACAATTAGGATTTCTATGTGCATTTGGATTTGCACCTAGTCCATATGTGAAACTAATATTTCCTGTAATACTTGTTGTACAAATAGTTTTAAGGTAAGAAATTATTTAATATTTTATTCTGTAAATATTTAACAAGAACATATGTATTACTAACAAAAAACACTAAAACTGAATAAATCGTCATAATTAAACCCTCGAAAATAAGGAACTGTGGCTTCATATCTATGAATAATATACAAGATATACAAACATTGAAACAACTGAAATTTAAACAAATAGATTCAATCGATTTATTGTATTTATCTAAGGTAATTACACTGCTGGACGACGGCTCAGTGATCTAGAGTTTGAAAGTTTATACATGACACTAGAGATCCAGGGTTCAGCTCACGGATGCAAGAGAGTGGATCTATACTGCTGAGATGTCCGTTACCAGTAGAGTGGATGCTACTCACAAGAGTGTTTCTAAGCAGTATATAATGAAACGTGTCATCGAAGTTGAGACAAACGTCAGACGGAGTAAAGAGCTTCAGTTCATAGAAAGCACAGTATTAACAGAACACTTGGAGATGAAACGAGAATACAATTGAGATGATGGAACATACTGAAAGATTGAAATGGACGATTGGAGGTTATGTAAATGCATTGTAACTTCTCTCAATAAATGCATATTCTTACTGCCTATTGTTGTGCTTTACACTAAGTTGAAACGGCTGTCCAGTTCTTTCAAGTTCTCAATGGTAATCAAAATAGAATCAGTTAATGATTTTATTTATGAAAATTCTACAGTCTCTACATATGTTTAATGTAAATTCAAATTTCATTGAATTTCACCTAATAGATAAGCAAAACACAATGATTCAATTCTTCTGTTTGGAAAAAAAAAATCTTTCTCAATAAACTCTTGTTTATATACTAAGAACAGAAATCATTAGAAATTGACATCAATTTATTACAATTCATGTGTTTCAAAGATTCGAAATACCCACTAGTTATTTTAATAATATAGATTTAATTTAGTCATATTAGAAACAGTTATAAATAATCATTCAGTTTACTGATATAAGTAGTCATAATCACTTTCTAAAAAATACAGATACAATTTATAAAAGAACAATATAGGTTAGTGATTTCGTTCTATTCTGAAGATTAAAAAAAATGCTTTTGTTAATAGTAAAAATAAGACACTCATACATGCTTATTATCTATTTGACTTTTAATTATTTAGCTCGTTGAATACAACAGTTGGCATAATTCGCTTCAATCAGGCAAGGTGACCTCAACCCTAAGCGAGTTACAGTCACAAGATACAAAGATTTATTAAATTCTGAAACAGCTAGATTTTATGATTAGCATTCGTGTAATATATTATATTTTGTCAATAAAAGTGACTATCTTAAGTGAAGTAGACTAGTAAAGTAATTTTAGTGTATTTCAACTGGAATCAACATGGTACTTAACATCAAAATATCTGTACTACAATTATTACTTTTCTTTGTATATTGCATTTAAATCACGTGATAAAATCAACAATCAAACTACATTATCATTAAATATATTTGATATAGTTAAGAACATGAGTCAATTGAAGCTAGACCACCATTGAAAACCTGGAAGCACTGGACGGCCGTTTCGTCTTATATAAAATTACTGAAATCTCCACAAAAACCCCCTTCTGAAATACATTTAAGTATACAAATAGATGAATGAAAACACTCAAATAAATTCGAAGAAGCTAGGTATGACATATTGTACTTCAGATTGATAAACAAACGATATTTCTATCAGTTTTGATCGATGAGGTTTACATAAACGGACCTCAAATAAAATGATGACTAACAAAGAGAAAATGATCAAATGCTTGACTGTATTATCGAATTTTCAAGAAGTTAACTTATAGAAAAAATCTCTTGGAATTATGTTATAACTACTAATAAATAAATTTCAAAGTCATTTACTCTGTAGTGCCGTGCTTCGCTAATCGTTCACCCTGATAACTGTTATAATTCCAATCTTAACGGTGCATAAAATTCAGAAGGCAAAGTGAAGCGGCAACTACAGTTACATTGACAAATGACATGGATTTGAGATGGCGGGTAACCCAACTCACTTTAATCAAGCGTTAATCAATATTTATATTCAGATAAGAATAAATGACAGACATGTGATAAATAGGATAAGAAGTGTATACACACCTACGCTCATATAAAAAAATAGTCAGGGTTAATGAGTGAATAATTAACAAGATCGAAACATGACTCATGAAGGATAGGTTAATTGGCTTGTCCAGAATCTAGAATAAAGTATATAAGTTTAACATAGCAACCGATACTACAACTCTCTCTTGTTAATTAACCACCGAAAATTATTTTAAAAATAATTAGAAGCCAAAAAATATTTTTATCTTCTTCTTAATACTAATTGTAATAGAGACGATATGATAAAGTTACTTTTTTTTCTGGTTAAAAATCATTATATAACTGATATTAGTTTTGAGAAAGAGAATCTATACTGACTGTACATATCCATGAAAAGAAATTGTCATACACTTTTTTCTGAAAAATCGATAAAGTTTTTTTGAAATATTATTTTAAAATTCACTAATCTAATCTCAGTGGTCTATCGGTTAAGTGCTCTGGCGTGAGACTGATAGGTCCTGGGTTCGAATCTCGTGAGGCGGGATCGTGGATGCGCACTGGTGAGGAGTTCCACAATAGGACGAAACGGCCGTCCAGTGCTTCTAGGTTTTCCACGGTGGTTTAGCTTCAATTGACTCATGATCTCAACTCTATTAAATGATATACATTGACTTTAGTTTGCATTCAATTACTGAAAATTTGATCGGATTCATTATATCTATATATTTATTTTCTGAATTGTTATACAATGAATAATTTTCTTTTAGCGAGACTATAATTTATGAACTAACCAATCAGATATAAGATAATGAATATTGGATTTTGGCGTAAAATTCATTTATACATTTAGTTAATTACCATTTTGACATTTTAGCTGATGTCAGTTAGTGATAATAACCCTAAACCTAATTCCTAACTTTAACCATAAACCGTAAATCCTAATTTTAATTCCTTACACTCTTTTATAACTTTCATTTAGTCCTAGTTTTTAGGTGGACACTCTGAAGGTCACTTTAGCGTCGCCCTAAGGTCGTCCATAAATTATAGTCTCACCTTTCCTTTTACTGATAATTATCTAATGACCCCCCCCCCTTTTTAATTTTTCATATCCAATGAAAAATTAACGTTTAAAATAACAATTCTTCGTTTATTTATTTTAGACATACCCTTATTCCTAAAGCAATTGATTCTAAATATCTTGAGGCGCTGGATCGTCATTTTTAATCACAAAAAAAAACAAAAAAATTTGGATTATTCCTACTGATAATCTACCATCATCTTAGAATTACTATCATTACTTCTGTTGTTCATTCTATCAGTATTGTTAAATAACCTTAATGAATGTATTAAAAGGTGAAACATTTCATGATATACAAATATACATAGGCAAAGGTGGATAGTTCTATAAGGAACGAGATTATCTGTAATTTTTTTTATTTCTAAATTAAAATTCACGTTTTATTATTTTTTTTCTTGTATCTAAGGTAAATATTAAAAATTTAAAAAAAAATAATAAGATTTGATAGAAACTATGGGATGTTTAAAAATATGTATCTTATTTAAATTAAATATTTATTTATTTTAATCTTGTTTTTCTATTCATTATTATTGAATTGGAATTATTTCATTTTTTTTCTCATTTCTTCATTGATAAATAGAATTTCTATTGTAAAGTTAAAAGTTAATTTAGAATATTCTATTGTATATTTTGAAGTTGAATGATATAGTGAATTATATATTTAAATAGAACAAATTTCATATACATATTAATCATTTTCTCACTAAAGACTAACCTTTAGAAATCCACAAAATCTTCTAATAATAATAATCATCATTTGCTCACTATGGATTGACTTCAAGAAGTATTTCCTCGAGTTCTAGTAAGAAGCTGTAACCAGTGGAGTTTAACTAAGTCTTCTATGAGATGGTAATTCACTGAAGACAATCATGGATGGTGGCTCAATTTCGTGGATTGTTTGAAGTTAGATATTAATACTGTTGGATGCCGACTCAGCGGTCCAGAGGTTAAGCATTTGCGCGCGAAATCGATAGGTTCTGTGTTCAAATACCGTGTGCGGGATCGTGGATTCGCACTGTTGATGCGTACTACACGAGGACGAAACGGTCATTGAGTACTTTCAGGTTTCCCATGGTTTTCTGTAAAACTAAAGTAAATCTAATGCTTGAATTATTATTGAAAGGACTATTCTTTAAAATAACATGATTAAGACAATTTGGAAAAAACATCTTGTTATAGTGTTTGTTTCTTAACTAATAAACTTTTTATCATCTAGTACATTACCGAATTCATGTCATTACACTTGAAATATTGTTCTATTATTCTTATTAATCTATAATCATTCAAAATTGGAGATACCATGCGATTGTAAGCAAATATATACAATGTGTTTTCTACTTGTATATCAGAAGTTATCTGAATGACTTTCCATGTAGACTAACTTTCCATCTAATTATCATTATCTAACTGTTTATTTACTAAAGACATATAGAAAAAATATATTTACAGTACTTAATTTTTCTAAATTCAAAATCATTGTCTGGTGAATATTACCGACATCTCTAAATTGATAAATTAGTGTTTAGTTTATTTGATTGTTTCAATTCAGTTCTAGTCTCATCTTATTTTTTTAAGTCATTTTCTTTAGCAACTTTCTATTACTTATCCTTTTTTAATTGATATCTAGGGCAAAACTACACTTAGACAACAAGATAGATAGTGATTTTACAATGTTTACAAAGTTTAAAACTAATAAGCAAAACTGTCGTTCAAATCAACAGGGTATATGACATGGTATCAAAGTTAATTTACAAAAAGAAAACGCCTGTTTCTAATGTAGATAATATTTGTAACGAAAAATTAAATGCTTATGCGTTTCAGGTTAATATTAAGGATATTTGTTAAGGTTTAAAATGTTTCATGTAAATGATGACTACCTATGCTTGGAAAATAACTAATCTTTTTGAATGCTTCAAGTTTTCTATAATAAATTATTTGTTTATATAACGTATTATGATTGGCTTACAATCGGATAAGTTTTCATAAGGTTATTCTAAGGTGATTCGAGGTCGTCGATGAAATATTACTACACCATGTCCAGTTGGAAATTCTTTAATTCTGTAAGCTTATGTATGCAGATTCATATGTACTTTATTATTGAGTGACATTTTGTTACTTTGACAAAAATATAACAATGCCTTTCACTTAGATTCTTAGAGAATTAAATTTCTCCAGATTATTGTACAATTCAAATCATTTGCTGATAATAAAGAAAAAACATAAACAAATGATTGATATCATCCTAACAATTGATAAGCTTTAAAACAAGACATATTGATTTATTTTCACTGTACAATCTTAGTCTATCCAAGCACCTTGAATGTGGAATGTAGAATGGTTCCAAGAGTTTTGCAAGATATGATACACCCATCTATACTGAAAAACTTTTCCTCAGCATAAAAAAAGAAGACAAAGTATCATATTTCTTTAAAATCAATACGATAATAAATTCAACTTAGTATTGTTTGTTTGAATCATCCCATCGATTTGTTACGACTGCAACTGGTCAGTCTCTAATTGGCATATGTGCATACTGTGCGTATTGCCTCGATATACCTTAATTCACAAGCATGGTTAGCAGAGATGGATAGTGGCTAGCAGTGGAATCCAGGACGCGCGTTTCGTCCTATTTGGGACTCGTCAGCTGGATGTACCTGCATCTCAGAGTTGATGTTCACTCTGGGTTCGAGTCCCAGAGTGAACATCAACTCTGAGATGCAGGTACGATAATAACATTGGTAGAGATCAAATCAAATGTATGCAGAAACGCATCATATTGATTTATAAAATATTGTACAGCCTAAATAAAGACGTGTACCCTTTTGAAGAGTTGTTAGCATTAGTAACCAATTATCTTACATATTGATATAATCTCTTAGATTGGCTACTTTCGGTGGGTTTTTTTATCCCGATTCTACTCCTGTCAACAGTGAATTTAGAAATTATCAGTGTCAGATTAATAGGGCGACTCGTCCCTTCGGCCTAAAACTGTGTGTATGAACTTCATGATGTTTATTTTGTGATTACACCATATATCATTTATGATAACAAAACACTTGGACTCAAATAAATTAAACATCAAACAATGTTGTTTACTTTAAGCTAAATAGCTTTTATAGTTTGGTGGTAAATTTAGGTTAATTGATTTCCATGCATATAATATCAGTGATGTACATTCTGTTGTGTCATAAATCCGAAATCATCATGTGATCATAATTTACACTTGATAGGGTAAAAAATAAACAACATAGTGAATATAATACTACCTTTATCCGCAAGTAGGCTAGGATACAAAGCAGTACAACTCACTGAATTAGTGTTTTTATACACTTGCTATGTACATAAGTCTATTCAGAACTTTATCCGAGGTTGTTATGATGAAAATAAGGTGCCAAAATGAAATATCAACTTCTTAACCAGTAGAAATAAATTCAGTGTAATTTACGTCACAATAATCTCCAAATATTTTAAATGAGATTTAATAGATGGGTTACAATGGAATGAACTGATACTTTAAGCGATCAAAAGTTTCAAGTCTTTATTACCAAAAAGATAATGGATGTGAACATTTGAAGACCATTAAACTTAGATACGACGATCTTCAGTGTTCAATTGAGCGAGCTTAACTTAAATTTTCAAAATTAGTTAAGTAAAAGAGTGAATTAATTTTCTTAAGAACTACATTGAACTTATTTTACTGTTCATCATCTTCGACTACGTTTACATAGGATCGAAAATTATTCAGTAACTCTTCAATGTTTTTAAAGTACTACAAAAAATCAATGTGTTCTTCGATTAATGATTTCAAGACTATGAATGTCAATAAAATAGAGTGAAGTAATTACATCCTGTTGTGAACCAGTGAATTTTATCTACAGATACTAATATATGAAAAACCAGATGAACCACTCAGTTTTTATGCATTTATGGAGCTCAATTTATTGTCAGAAAGTCAAATATTTCCCAATATATTCGAAAAAGTTAAGTTTTAGGTTTAAATAGGTTCACGTTATTGACAGACATTACTTAATTCCATTAATTATCAAATTAGATTTCAACACGTAAATACTAAAACGCTACTATCCTTGTTGTGATTAGTCCTATTTCCAACAAGTCATATTAAATCATATCGTTTGGATTTCAACTTACAATATAAACTGTATAAGTAGCAAAATTTGGTTTTAAGCAGACTGCTTCAAATCGTGTACGTAATAAGCTCAAAAAAGTGTTATTTGAGGAAATATGAGGAGGCTAAATAACAACTACTTCTCAGATATACCCATGAAAGTCTCAAACTAAAAATGGGGTTATAAGAAAGTCTGTATGGATGGTTTTTTAATATCGTATGTAGATTGGGAAGGGAAGTTTTTGTTACATTGAGATAAAAAAAACAACCACTCCTTTTATGCTGTTGACTAAACGTTGAAAAAGTTCACAGCCATTAAAAAAACGATGCACTGATGAGTGGTGTTAAAAGGAAATTAGGTCTATACTGAGAAGTAGCTAATTTCCTAATCTACTCATGTTTTCGATGAGTGGACCCATATCCTTTAACCTAAATAAATGACGATGATTTACGGAAATGACTTCGTTTTGTTTTAGGTACTACCTAAGTTGTAAGTAGTATATTATTTCAAAAAAACTTTCTCGACCTCAATCTAGTCATTAGAACTTCATTTAAACTAAATTTTTATGTTGCAAGTTACATACTATTAATATCAACAGACTCATAAGCTTAAACCCAAATATAAACCTATTACATTCAATGGATAAATACACTACCATGGAACAGATGACAAAAAGAAGCAAATAATTCGACAATAAAACAAACAGTATGAATGAAGTGAAATAATTAATTCTAATTTATAATTATATCTCAGTACGCTTTAATATTCTGTGTCACAAACTGAAAAGAACACCCCAGTATAGTCAGTCAATGATATCTCATTATTAATTAAAGTTACTAACCATCATTTATGAAACACACAGATCGGTTAGATTATAGTGACCATAAATAAAAAACAGTCTTAGCAAATGGCAAACATTGAAAGGAGCCCATTTGATTCCAGACAATACTAAAGTAATACACACAAGACTAAGTAAAAGTCTTATCAGTTAACTTAAATATTAAGTCGATCAATAGAAT